GAATGGAAACAACACCAGTTGACTCAATGACAGACCTTATGATACAGCACACAAATGCTAACCATTCGGCCATCCATTGCCCCCAGGAAAGAAGAACATGTGCAACTTACTGCAACTGGATTTTTTTTCAGTCGCATCGGATCACATGACCACTTATGCCACCTTTTTCATGCAACTCTCAGTGACATCCCAATCACTTAATGTAAGGTCACATCTGATCGCAAGGGAGACATAAGCCCCAATGAAAGGTCTGGCTGAGTTGAATTCTAAATCAATATTTGTCATGCATATTTAGCTAGACAGTGTTTCACCCCACAGGGGATTACATGTACCCACGACACTAATGGTAGTTAATTAATGACATAATAATGGCATGTTACACTACTGTTCTTCAGTAGTATTGATGTATATCGGGAGTCGTAAACTTATGGCACTAGCTAGTCCATGTGACATAATTCATCTCAAGATGATAATAATCAAATATACAAAAATTAAATGGAATGAAATAGGGTTTAACATCCTCCTGTTCTGCTCCGACTGGGCATACACCATACAGTGTGTTATGAGGGAAATTTTGCCCGGGCAGTGACACTATGGCTTACTCTTGTATTGAATTCTAACTGCCAAGGATTTTGTCACGTGCACGCCAATGTATACACGGGTCCCCTGTTTTCCGTACCATCCAAACGACTAGACAGCTGTCATTGTCAGGCCTTCTGTTCTGCACCACTGACAAGGGGAAACCACGCCGGAAAATACCGATGAACTTTCTCGGCCAATGCAGGGATTATCACGTGAGACTTGGTATTCACAATATTTTCTATCAAGGAATCTGAAGAGGCCCCCCCAGCTGGGTCAGTAGCCATATCGAAATTAGAGACGAAATATGCCAGGTATTACGCGAAGGGCTTGATAAGATGTACAGAGTTAAACGAGATCAAGCCGTCTATTCGAGAGGTGTGCATGCCAACATGTACACGGAACATTGGTTTTTCATCCTATTCATATTACTAGATGCTGTCCCTTGCAGGGGAATGGGGGGGGGATCACTCTGAAAAATCCAGCGGAACTTTTTCTTCTAATACCAGAAACCAGGGAACTTCTGTGGCTCTTTTATGTTACAGTAGTCAAGAATAGATAGATATAGAGTTGTATTTACTAGTAGACAATAACTCATATTATCTTTTATATAACTACCCTTTTTGCACTCCAGGTGGTTTGACATAAATAAAATGCAGCGGTCAAAATCATTTACATGTGCTTGTAAAATACAAAATTCCAGAAAATAGTGTAAAAATCGAAATGAGAACAAAATAGAATGTAAGTATGAAAAACATTCCGAAATTTTTCAAAAAATTCTATGAAGAAGTCTGTTCTGTATTACACTGCTGAATGTTAACAGGGAGAGAACTCTGAAATTTACAATCATTTCTTCAATAGTCCCAACTCAACAATCACACCATGATTGAACAAATTCCACCATGAACTTTGCCCAATGTCGATAACTCAACAAAATTTACAATCCAAGAATGTTGACATAAAATTGAATGTAGACAAGGGAAATAATTTCCATGATATTAACCTATTGATTTAAATGGTTTCTTCCTTATGAACGACTTGAACAACAATGCCTGAAAATCCTAACATAAAAATGTTGATTTCATTAAATTTCAGATGTGTATTTGTCTGCATGTTAAGCCAAGTCTGACACAAAACTGTCAACAATTTAAGGAGAAAAGGAAAAGAAAATTGGTGAACAAAAAGACTTCTGCTTAAAATTTCTAAATTTAATGAAATAGGTTCAACATTCTCTTTTACATACAGACTGGGCTAACGAAGACAGACATACGCTATGCAGTGTGCTATGAGGAAAACTTTGCCTGGACAGAGGCGCCATGACCTACACTTATCTCAAATTCCAACTTTTGAGGGTTCTTTTACGTGCACAACAATGTGTACACAGGACCTTGGTTTTTTGTACGATTCGAATGACTAGACACTCTCCTTGCCAGGTCATCCGCCCTGCACCACTGACAAGGGGAAACCATTCAGGAAAATCCCGGCCGACACTGAGAGTGAACCTGAGACCTGGTTAGCGAGCGAGGGTCTTACTCACTGATCCACCGTGGCTTCCAACATTTCTAAAAGAAAAATAATTGCTATAGACTTTTTGAGAGAGAAATAGAGTGTAACGTCCACTCGACACAAACTAGGTCAACTGGCGTGGTTTCAAATCCCCGGTTGTACATGTACATGACAAGGAGTAGGGTCGCCTGTCCAACCTGGTGGGTTTTCTCCGGGTCCTCCAGTTTCCCCCCACTGCTAAAGACCCCTACACGCACGCGAGTTATTGAAATAAAAAAATAAAACCATATGTTAGTTCCGAAATGACCTAGTTTGTGTCGAGTGGACACAATTTTGTCCCATAACTAATCTAACAATCAACCCAAAACTTTATTTTGACATAATTCCAAGGCGTTACGGTTTAGCTCCTTTAAATTAAACTTCCTTCAAGTGAAACCATCATTAAATGGAATGTGCCTGCCACATCCCTGATGGTAATAACACTAGATGTTATTCTGACCTTAGAAAGCAAAGAAGTTTTATTCCTAGTTGAATCGATTCTGTATCTCTAATTTTTTTTTTTTAGTGATTGACATTTTATTCACGTTTGTCACCGTAAAAACACTATGATGCTGTTAACAACCGAACGTTGGAATAAATAAAGATATGAGGCTGCGTGTGATGTCAAGTCATTCAAGGACAAACATGAATAATAAGTGTTGAAATCAAAGAATTGATTGTCACATTCGATCAAATGGGATGCCTCCTAAAAACAATCGACCATAATATGTTTGCATGAATGAATAAAATTAGATTTATTTTCAATTAAAGATCAAAATTTTTTAAGCCATGTGCTAAATTGCTTGATAAAAATATTTTGTGAAGAAAATACAAAAATGTTAAAATACCCTCTTGATCTAGTTTCAGGAGAAAGAGAAATTGTATTAAAAATATTAATGTGTAACTAGATCTGCCAGGCAGATATGAAACTTGAAAGCTTTCATATTCATGGTCACTTCCTGTCACATGTCATGGGTTATACAAAGAAAATAGTTATTAAAATCACTCAAAAGTTATAAGCTTAAATATACATGTAGCGAGAAACATTTCACCCGGGCGAAAAAATAATCTGAAAAATAAAAATAAATAACTGAGACTTGTATTGCTGTAATCCGATTGACTTCCAGTTTCAGAAGTTTCGGGAAAATCGATCAAGTCATTTAAGAATGAGGCGGAACAGAAACTGAAATGAAAAAACTCAAAAATGGCGGGAAATGATATAATTTTGAATGGAACTTATATCTTGGGAATCAGATTGACCCCAGCTGTTTGAATATTTAAGTCAAATTTGTAAATTTTGAAAATTAAGGAAATAAATTGTCTTGTAAAAAAAGGCGGAATTCAAAATTTTGAAATTTTCAAACATCAAACACTAATCAAAAATTCGACCTTGATCCCGGCTATCCAGAAATGTATTCATTTCGGAAATAGGAGAGGTATTCTTCAAGCTACGGCCTATTGTGTTCATTTTCACGTCAGTTAATATGGATATTTTACTTTTTATTTATATTCAATTCAAAATGGTGACAATCAGTTGACTGAAATCAAAATTCAGATAGTAGGAGAGGACAGCAGCAGAGAGGTTATTATTTACCATTCAAATTTAGGAATGGGTAATTTCTCCCTTGAATAGTCCCACCCTAGAGCAAATCATTAAACACTGTACAAACAAGGGTGAAATAGTTGGGATGAAATATTGTTCATTTTATTTACATTTTTAGGGAAATGAAATGGGGTGTATTCAGACAGAGATACACATTTTATAACCTTTATAGTTATTCAAATATTGTATAGATCCATAAATAGTAATCGAGTAGACTGTCAGTCTGTCAGTCAAAATCAAAGGAATAAAAAACAAAACTGCTGCTCTAAAGCCTCAGCCTTTACTATCCTATGGCTAAGTCTTAAATTGAGAAACTAAAATGCTTTCTGTGTGTGTCTCTGTATCAGATAGTCAGTTATGATGAATATCTTATGAAATATGTGGAGAAATAACAAAAATAGAAGTAGAAAATGGAATCATAACGCACATGTATTAGAAATGGGATAAGCATTTATGAATGGGCCTACTGTCTGCCATGTATTCTAAATTGGTCAAACAATTTTATGCACCTCTACTGACAATCAGATTGTTTTAGTCTATGACATACATGTACGTGATCAATGCCTTAGAATTTTTAAAATATAGGCTATGGTTTATGGTCAGACAAGTAGTACAAACTACATCACGGCTTGCACCATTAAATTAAGGGGTCATGGTGGCTAAGTCGGTAATACGGTGGCTAAGTGGGTAATACACTGGCTCGCTAGCCTGGAGGTCGGGTATTCGATCCCTGCATTGGCCGAGAAAGTTCATCTGGATTTTCCAAAGTGGTTCCCCCTTAATATCAGTGATGCACGACGGAGGACCTGACAAGGACAGCTGTCTAATCGTTCGGATTGGCATGCAAGAAAATGATCCCTTGACAGTTGGAATTCGATATAAGAGTAGGCCATAGTGCCGCTGTCTGGGCAAAATTTACCTAATAATAGCACACTGTATGGCATATGCCAGTCTTCATTAGCCCAGTTCAGAGCAGAACAGTAGGATATAAAGTCCCATTTTATTACATTTCATTTCTGCACCATTAAATATTGACTCGATTACTTAAGTTGTTTATGGTTTGCAATGTCTGTGTATATGGTGCGTCCTGCCCACGGTTTTGTCCTATGGGTTTTTGTTTATAATGTGTAGTGCGGTGCTCTTAGTCCTGCTGCACTTGTTTTACACAGTTAGTGGGTTACTTTTGTTTTAGTTTTACTACCAGCCCGGTAAATTCGGCGGTGCGTTTTTCATATCATGCGTGACTTATAAACTTATAATTGAAAATGCATACTTAATTTCAGTGGTCCTCGAAGAATATAAATAACGAACATAACCAGGATAAACCATACAGCCCACAAATATGTCCAGGACCACGCAATCCAAGATTTTAGCTTGTCGAAAAATCTCGACAGGAAACCAGCCATCTTGAAGATCTCATCCCGCGGAAGAAAATATTGTTAATTCCGGAAATAAGAAAGGCTTCATTTTAAAATCTTTTACTGCAAAATGTAATTACATAAATTTTTAATAAGAGAATTCTGTACACAGTTTTGGTATCGTCATTAAAAATTGCCATTATTACATTTTATTGACCAATCATTGAGCAGTACTTTCTCTCTCTGCTTAGTTGGAAAACAACTATGGCGGAAAATTTGAGGTGAAAAATTACCGAGTTCATTAATGTCATATTATAACAAATACGTCTGTAATTATAAAAGTGTCATTGCACAAAAAATCAACAAAAAGAGTACCCTTTTTTGCTGTGATATTTATGATATGGTTTCACTTACATTCGTATTAAGAATGAACAATTTCTTGAACGTACCCGATCTTTAAAATTGCGCATGATGGTGTAATCCGTTACCGTAATCATTATTATATTACATATATTCATCATTGCAAGTATCATTTTTACGACTCATCGTAACAATAGCCACTGCCTATAATAAAATCAGTGATAGTTTCCCATAATGAAATGAAATGAAATGAAATGGGGTTTAACGTCCTACTGTTCTGCTCCGAACGCCATACAGTGTGCTATGAGGGAAATTTTGCCCGGCGGCGGCACTACGGCCTATATATCGAATTCCAACTGTCGAGGGATCTTTTAGGTGCACGGCAATGTTTTACATGGGACCTCGGTTTTTCGTACCATCTGAACGACTAGAGAGCTGCCCTTGTCAGGCCCTCCAACTTGCATCACTGACAAGGGGGAATCATGCTGGAAAATCTGGTTGAACTTCTCGGCCAATGCAGGGATCGAACATCCTACCTCGAGGCTAGCAAGCCAGCATCTTACCCACTTAGCCACCGTGACCACCTAGTTTCCCATGATAAAAAATTGTTCTGTTAATGTTATCAATATGTAACAGGTATTGCCAGAGTAGAACGAAAATGACTGTGTCAACTATAAATATAAAACCAAAGAAGAATTCAGTATCTATTTCTATGATAAAACCGTCACAATTAAGCTTTTCAAGTGATGCACAAAATATTCAATAATTTCAATTTGATTTTAATTTAAATTATATAGGGGTATTGTATTAATTGCCAATTAATTTTGTTACAAAAAAAAAAGGAAAGAAAAAAACAAGTGTGAGAACTAATTTCATTGACGTCATATATATGTGACGTCATTGATTACTTTGGTAACATGTGTAATCTTGCGGGATTTTGATAGAGGAAAGATAACTATGTTGACATGCACATTGTTTGTTTTGTCCAGTTCCGGTCTGAATTTATTTATAAGCCAACAGTCTATCACAGTTTCAGTAACGCTCATGTGTTACCGGTAAAGAGCTTTGCTCAGGCACCACACTTCGCGCAATGGTGTAGACTTTAATAGTAACTGCAGGAAGACCGTACTACTAGTAAAACAGAAATCTACAAGATAAACCTGCGGACAAGACAGAAAATAGACATTGCACCAAATAAACAAATATCAAATCAAGTGATCGATCCGGGGGCAAGCCGTAAGCGTCCACTGCGCTGTACAATCCCGGGCCTGTAGTGACACAGACTTCACTCAAATTTGAAAACAATCAGGAATACAAAAAAGACGTAACAGAAATAATGCGACCAATCTTGACAGTGGTCGTCTCCTCAATGGTGATAGTCTGCCAGTTGATGTCATGAGTTAGAGCTTTGGTATTGATACAAACTGTAGGCCTAACTGGACACATATGTGAATTACACTTCTTTATACTGATTTACTCAGTACTCAGTAATGGGATTAATTATGGACCATTCCATGCTTCCGTTATTTTTAAAGGTACAATATTAAACAAAATGGCAAAAATATACTTTCAGGCTATAAACATTAAATGTGACCTGTGATGGCTAGCATGATTTAGCCAAATCCACCGTTATTTCAACTTGTATTACTATAATTTAAATTTCCAGTTTCCTCCCACTTCTAAAGACCCCTACGTAAACCTGATTTCTCTCTCTCTGTCATTTTCAATTTAAAATCGTATTGTTTTGTGTCTAAATGTCCCTCAAAAAATTGTGGTACATGTACATTTATGTCTTAGAACTTTTATTATTTGCCTTTCAGAGTAGAAGATGGAAATTTTATGCATGATTATTGTCTATAGGTGAGACTATTGTAATACAATGAATAATCAACAGTTGTTTGGAAAGTCTTCACCTGGCACCAGCAATGTTTTTGGTTCTGGTGCCAGCAACACTGAAAACAGAAACCTTTCATTTGGCAATCCTATGGGGTTTGCTTTTGGAACTTCATCTACACAAAGTAATTCTGGTAATGTATTTGGGAATCCATCCATGACAAGTTCTGCATTTGGATCAACACCGTTTGGCACATCTGGAAATCCAACTTTGGGACAAAGCAGTTTGTTTGGCAATGAACAAAGTTCTTTGGGGAATAGTGCAAACACAGGTGCTTTTGGGATCAGTACATCTTCTGGTGGATTTGAGATCAGTAAAGTTTCTACTGGATTTGGGAACAGTATGACATCTGGTGGGTTTGGCATCAGTACATCTTCTGGTGGATTTGGGAACAGTATGACATCTGGTGGGTTTGGCATCAGTACATCTTCTGGTGGATTTGAGATCAGTAAAGTTTCTACTGAATTTGGGAACAGTATGACATCTGGTGGATTTGGAACCAGTACAGCAAATTCTGGTCGAATTACAAGTAGTACAATCACTTCCCTGCTGGGTGGTTTTGAAAGTCAAACCAAAACATCATTTTCTGGATCTGGGAATAGTATAACTTCATCAAGTGCTTTTGGAACACAGTCATCAAATTCATTGAGTGGCACTGGTGGAGGTTCAGTAAATTCTTTTGGTAACAGTTCTGCCACAGGTCAATCTCCGGTATTTGGGGGACAATCATCTACATCTGGATTTGGTATCCCTTCACAGAGCATACCTGTATTTGGTGTGCCAATTAGTGCAGCATCAAGCACTGCTTCGGGGCCAACAGTCTTTGGAACAGGTTTTGGTGTTGCAACATCATCTGCCTCAAACGTAACACTCTCAGTGTCTGGAAATCAACCTGCTTCTGGATTTGGAAATCAACCTGCTTCTTTATTTGGAAATCAACCTGCTTCTGGATTTGGCAGTCAGAACTCAGCCGTATTTGGTGGACAATTGAGACAAACTACGACAGCCAACATCTTGTTTGGCACCACAACAAAGCCAATTGTCAGTACATCTTCAAATTTAGTATTTGGCAGTCAAGGAAATGCTTTTGGCCAGTCTAAGGCTAGTGGTATCTCTGGTACTAGTTCTTTAAAGTCAGAATCAGGAACAGCTTTTCCTTCATCATCTGGTACTGTATTTGGAGGAGTTGGAAATACTGCAATTAAATCTGAAGATAATGTATTTGGTAAAGCAAGTGGTCAGCCATCAAGTACAGGTTTATTTGGAAAGCCAACAGATGTCTTAACATCAGGTAAGAAATGAACTGTGTTAACGTCCTACTTTTTGCACCAAGCTAGTGAAGACGGGTTAGCACGTGCACGCTTTATCATAAGGTCTGTCATTGAGTCAACTGACAGGGTTTCGATTCCCCGGTTGTACGTGACAAGGAGTAGGGTCACCTGTCCAACCTCTTGGGTTTTCTATGGGTCTTCCGGTTTCCTCCCACTGCTAAGGACCCCTAATGAGCAAGTGAATTATTGAAATAAAATTGAACCATGTGTTAGTCCTGAAATGACCTAGTTTGTGTCGAGTGGGTGTTAAACCCCATTTCTCTCTCTCTCTCTCTCTCTCTCTCTCTCTCTAGTGAAGACAGATATACGCCATGTAGTGTTTTATTAGGAGGGAAATTTTGCTGTGTTTCTGCCAACTCTTTGTGGAATTCGAACTGGCATAGATTCTTTACGTGTACCTGGCACCTTGTTAGTCTCACCTCATCTGAACAACAAGATCTGTGGGTAAACATTTCCTGTAAATTTGAGAACACTGTATTTAGTAACATCCTGTGAAATTCGGGAGCTATGGTAGCTTGATGAGTATGGCGTTGACTCACTCACACTGCACAGAAGATCCCAGTTTCGATCCTGGTGTTGGCTGGGAAAATTCTTCAAGTTTCCCCTTGTCAGTGGTGCAGAGAGCCTGACAAAGAAAGTGTCTAGTTATACGGATGGGATGATAAATCTCCTGAAGGTTGAAAATTGAAATAAGTGTAGGCCATGCCTTACTCTCAGGGCAAAATCTCCCTTTTACATGTAGCATATGTTTTCATTGGTCTAGTTGGGGCGAAAAAGGTAGAAATTAAATTCTATTTCCTTTTGAAATTTTATTACGGGTACTTTAAATAATCTGACATGAATTTTTAGTTCCAGTATTTAGCTTAAATTATTTTATAGATGCTTTCATTCAAATTTATAAACCTTGCATAGAAATGTGCATTAATTTTGTTATTAAATTGTCTAGATTAAAATGTTACTAATTACTATATACATTGTTCCTACATGTACTTGTACTTGGCTTCTAGAGCCCCAAGGGGAGTTAGATGGCTGAATGGTTAGCGTGTGCACGTTGTATCATAAGGTCTGTCATTGAGTCAACTGGCATGGTTTCAATTCCCTGGTTGTATGTGACAAGGAGGGGTCGCCTGTCCAATCTTGTGGGTTTTCTCCGGGTCCTCCGATTTCCTCCCACTACTAAAGACCCCTATGCGTAATCCAATTATTGAAAGAAAATTGAATCATATTTTATTCCTAAAATGACCTAGTTTGTTTCGAGCGGACGTTAAACCCCATTTCTCTTTCTCTCTCTCCTACATGTACTTGACTTCTAGAGCCCCAGGAATAGGGTCGCCTGTCCAACCTCGTGGGTTTTCTCCGGGGCCTCCGGTTTCCTCCCACTGCTAAAGACCCCTACGCGCAAGCGAATTATATAAAAAAAATTTAACCATATGTTAGTCCCGAAATAACCTAGTTTGTGTCGAGTGGACGTTAAACCCCATTTCTCTCTCTCTCTCTCTAGAGCCCCAGAAGTTGGTGAAAGAAAAAACCCTGTTTGGTAAAGAAGACAAGCCAGTTATTAAATCTGAATCAACTGCAGATGAAAAACCAACTGGTCTTTTTGGCAAACCTGCCGTGTCTACAGCCAATTTTGGTATATTTGGTAAAAAGAAAGAAAGAGAAGGTATGTAACTGCCAGACCCTCCTCCCTACATGACTGACAAGGGGACACTACTTTGGAATATCTTAGGGAACTTTCTCGGCCAACATTGGGATCGAACCTGGATCACCTGGTTAGTGTGCCAGTGCCTTAATCACTGAGCCACTATCTATATTTGTGAGTCATTTGTCAGGGGGTTGGATGGCCGATTGGTTAGCACGAGCGCGCTGTATCATAAGGCCTGTCATTGAGTCAACTGGCGTGGTTTCGAATCCCCGATTGTACGTAACAAGGAGTAGGGTCGCCTGTCCAACCTCGTGGGTTTTCTCCGGGTCCTTCGGTTTCCTCCCACTGCTAAAGACCCCTACGCGCAAGCGAATTATTGAAATAAAATTAAACCATTAGTCCCGAAATGACCTAGTTTGTGTCGAGTGGACGTTAAACCCCATTTCTCTCTCTCTCTCTGTCATTTGTCTGTTCGAGGTTGGCAGCTACACTAGGGCTATCCTGAGGTTAAAATTTGGTGTATAGTGGTAGCTTGGACTGGGGAGTAACATAAGCTAGGTGGGGTTGGCCTGTTGCTTCCAGTTTCGGAATTACAGGTTATCCGCTAGTATGTTATAAGAAGGCTGTGTTTAATGTACTAGATGCGTTCATATTTGGTTAATGTCCATGTGTATATTATTGTAGGATCAAGTCGAGCTCTGTTTGATTAATGATTTATGTCCATGTCTATTAGTAAGTGCAGGAGGATCGCACTACACACAAAACAAATATCTACGAGATGAGCCTGCGGACAAGACAGAAAATAGACATTGCAAAAAATAAACAAATATCAAATAAAGTGTATTTATTGTAGGTACAAGTCGAGCTCTGTTTCAAGGTAAAGAAGAGGAGGATAGAAAGAGGGATGGAAGAAAGAGAATCATCAGAAGAGGTCGTGATCAGGATGAAGGTAAATTAACTACTGACAGAAAAGTTGTTAATTAAAATTAGATCCTTATAGTTGTTAAAGATGCCTTCCTATGTACAAACTGGGTGAAGTGATGATATATTTGGACTAAAAACATATTCAAACTAATTAATCTATCAAAAATTTGCTTCAAATCCCTCTCAAACATTGTATTCATGAGGGAAACACAAAGATTTTAAATTTTTTATTTTTAGAAGCCATGTTTGTCATGTAACTGGATTGAGGGAGGGCCCGTTTTCAGAAAGTATTTGTCGTTACTTACTTTCCATTTGCCATACATATTGAAGCCTAAGTAAATTCTTAGATTGTCTTCTGCCGACTTGTTTTCCCCCCGTTTAATTGCAGAGTCTGTTGTACATTTAAACCCCTCAACGTTCCCAAAGCTGCCTAACCATTCAATCATAAAATAACAACTGCTCCCTAAACCAAACTGGCAGACTATAAGCTGTCGGGCTGACAGTTAGGGATACCCTGACATTTTTGCCCATTGCTTGCCCCATCGATGTTTTTGGAAGTCTCTAGTTTCCATATATACCAAATTTGACATACTTTTATTGGAAATAACTACCATATAATTCTTTCATGAGAATGTACCTGTAAGATGCAGTATGTAAGATTAGATAATGAGCAGACAGTTCTCGCTATAATAATTCAAAAATAGGTAATATATTTCAAATTTCAGTCAAAGTATTTTATAAATGTTTGAAGTCTTGATTGTCATTGCTACAATAATAAACAAAGTCTTGATTATTAATTTTATTGTTAAATTATTAGATATTAAAGATGGTTCTAATCCATTGAATATCTACGCCATCTGATGAACTAGAGAGTTGATCATGGGCTTCAATGTTTAAATAATAATTTATATAACATTTATAGCTAAAAAAAAAAAGACCTGCAATAGGCAGATTTAGCTCTTACATAATGCATCTTTAATTAGAATTAGACAAATACAGTGGAGTCTAAAAACAGCATTATGATTGAAGTTTGTGTTCAGACATCACAAATTGTTTTTTCTCCATCACAATGGTTTGTAGAAAATGTTAAACCCATTTATTTTAGATTTCTCCAATATTCATATCCACCTGTGTGCACGTTGTTTATCAAGGAACATCTTTTACCCGCTTCTAACATCTTAATTTTATAGTACAAGAAAAACGAGGACGTAATTTGTTTTCACGAGCAACAGCAGGTGTATTTGGTCACTCAGAGAAAAGAAGTCGAGAAGACACCAAAGACAAAGATGATGGTCATGAGAGCCAGAGAAGAAGAGTGGAGGAAAGAGGATTAACAACAAGAAAACCAAAAGAATCTCCATCAAAACCTCCTGATAGTCCTGATGGTATGGGATATTTTAATAATAATAATAATAATATGTACATTTATACTGCGCACAGTTCCATGCTAATATACATGCTCATAGCGTTACACAGTCTGGATGCCATAATAGGTCATAAATAGATGAGTTTTTAAATTAGGTTTGAATGTTTCTAGGCTGGATGATAATTTAATGTTCAGGGGTAATTCCATAGAACAGGCACAATGTGAACAAACAATCTATATCCAAATGATTTGAGTTTATATTTTGGGATTATAAGATGGTGTTCTTGTTGAGAACGGAGTGTACGTCCAGGACAATAGTCAATATGGTGCTAGACAGGAAGGTACTAGAAACTTCACAATGAAATTGACCTGTTGTGGAAATAACCTGTCAAAGAATTTAGTCTTGAAATACAATCAACACAATTCTAAAAATTGTCATGTTCTTTGGAAAATATATGTTGCTAATTTGAAGTTAAAAAATTACATCAATATATTGACTGACTGACAAAGTGCTGATGTGAAAGCCTATCTCTGGTGCATGCCTTATCAATAATTTTACATGCTTCTTTTGATCTATTTGGTGTATGACAGACTTGATATTTTAGGATAGTCCTCTAATTAAATTAATTGTTATAAGTGTATTAGAAAATTTGAACCATTAGCATTAGATTTATGGTTCAGTTATTATTGAGAGAACATGATCGAGTCATGAAAAAAAGACAATATATTGCTTTATAAAACTGTTATAGTTTTGGACCATATTTAATTAAGGGTATATGTTAAATTGGCCCATGTATAGCTGTTATCACTGGTCACTTCAGACAGTTATATAGAAGGACAACTCGTGTTTTACTTTTGTGTTCTCTTAAAATCTTCATAACGCATCTATCGTAGCAATGATCTCTGTGTTAAAATAATATTTGGAACGTGATTAACCAGTTCTATCATATATGTGGTAATGACTGACACCAATATTGTCCTTATGTTAAAGTAAGTAAAAGTCCCTAGAGGGTATTTCAAGAAGTGGGTCCTACATAAAGTTTGTAGCCATGGTTTACACCTATCAGTGATGTAAAAGGTGTCTAAGCAATTGTTGGTTAGTGATTGTCGGGGTACACTGCATGGCATCTTCATTAGCTTAGTTGGTGAAGAAAAGTAGTATGTTAAACAACATTTCATTTCATATCAAAAATTGTTGTTTAGCCTATGTTGATCCAATCTGAATGATTAAAGTACAGATCTATATTTCGTTTCGTTTTTTATACCTTCGATGGCCTACACTACACAAAGATCTGACCGGTTGTAGCAATAGGACGTGTCAGAAGTCATACGAGCGGCTTTTGACCCTATGATGTCAGACATTTGATTAACCAATTAACATTGATGTTACTAGTGGATTACCCACAGTTCCGTGCAAAACACGCCTTAATCTCTCCGTAACAGACCGTTTCATTGGCTAATACCTCACACTATTCAGAATTTGTCAATGATAACAACTCTTCCAGATCCTGGTGTAGTAAAGACAAGCCAAACGAAATTTTGAACTATAAAAACAAAACCAAATGGGATCTGTGTTGATCTGATTCAGCAAGTATCGTAGATATGTGACATATTTAATATTAAGCTAAATGTTTGTCGCAAATGTCTTTTCATTTCTCTTTTATTTTACAGAACCAAGAGTTCGAAGAAGAACTATTGACGATGTAGATTCGAAGGTTGCCATTGTAGTAAAAGGGATTCCGGCAAAGTTCAATAAAGTTCCTATTCTTAAACAACATTTTAAGAAATATGGAGACGTGAGGAGGGTGTATCCAAACATCAATAAAAACATGGCTACTATTCATTTTGATTCCCATGTAAGAGTTTTTCTCATTTTGGACTGATAACTTACTTTTTAGTTCATTTTGAGTGAAGTCTGTGCGGTTGCAAGCCCGGGACTGTACAGCACAGTGGACGCTTACGACTAACCCCCAGATCCATTCCCTTGATTTGATATTTGTTTATTTTTTCAATGTCTACATGTCTGTCTCGTCTTTCTCCCTTGTCAGTGATGCAGGACGGAGGGGCTGACAAGGAAAGCTGTCTAGTCGTTCGGATGGGACGAAAAACCGAGGCCCCGTGTACACATTGGCGTGCACGTAAAAGATCCCTTGGCAGTTGGAATTCGATATAAGAGTAGGCCGTAGTGCCGCTGTCCTGGCAAAATTTCCCTCATAGCACACTGTATGGCGTATGCCCGTCTTCACTAGCCCAGGATAGGAGCAGAACAGTAGGACGTTAAACCCCATTTCATTTCATTTCATTTCTGTCTCGTCTCTAGGTTTATCATGTACATTTTTCTTTGCGTGTTTTTTAGTGAGGTCCTCCTACACTCACTATTAGTATATTGGTCCGTTCTTCATCTGTCCTGTTGGAGCAAAAAACCCCTTTTTATTTCATTCATTATTATATTAAATTATTATATTTGGGGTATGGTTTAAACAATGTTTTATTTCAAGTACGACATGGGTATATACAATACTGATATAAGGCCACCTAAAATAAAATAGTTGGTGATCGTCCTTTTTTTTCAAAAAATGTGGGAGGGAGGGAGTTTTTTTTTTTTTTTTTTTTTTTTTTTAATGAATATACAGAATAAGCAATATACTTCAGGAATATTAACCTTTTATTCCATGTCAAAACACAACTCATCTGCATGATCGTCATTTGAATTGTTCAGATTGATTATTTAAACTTGAGATATTCCGCCTTGGATTCAATCAGATATAAAGAGATTTATAACTGAACACTTATAGGTGGTGCCGACTGGTTTAATGTTGCAGGATATCAAATGTTGCAAAATTTCCAATTCATATCATGTCTTTGGACTGATATTCTTTTTAGACATTCAACTTTCATAATATTGTATTTTGCGAATAGTAAGACCAGAAGAGCCCCCCCCCCTCCAAAAAAAAAAACACAAAAAAAAAAGACATTTTGCATAACGACTTACGATCACTAATATTAATAATCGGTTGATTTAGTTATTCATGCCCCCCATGGCCATTCCGAAAATCTGTTGTTACATTTATTCGAGAGACTGTTTCATGTAATTCAGAATCGGCGAGACGTATTCCCATCTTAACATATAGTTCCAGGTTGTATTCAAAATATTGTATTTGGTGCTGTACGCGTGCAAACAAAAATGTCAGCCATTGTTGCCGTTAACAGGTCGTAATTTGTTTATGTCATTCAGTCCTACGCATTTGAAGAGTATTGGAACACGTGCCAATAATTATATCCGCTTCATTAACTCTTGCGATTTGGAATTTCGTAGCCTGGCTACATTATGGAACTTTTACCATTGGTTTTAAACATCGTAAGAAGGTAAATTTTGAAAAAAAAAATAAAAAAAAATTCTGGTCGGGTAGAATTTTCTGGTCGGGCGGGGACAATCACCAACTAATTTTTTTTATGTCGCCTAATGGTATTTAAAAAAAGTATGACATGAGCAGGGGTCTCGATAACCGGGTTCGCATCGCACTTTGCGAATCAAATCTTGCCCGTTTCTAATCACATGCTAATCAAAACTGGACATTGCTAATCAATTTGCCTGCTAATCAAGTTCGAAAAGTGATTGAGACCCCTTGACATGGAATTTAACAAAAAAAAATATACTGATGTCCAAAAGAAATTATACACATTAAAAGTTTTGTTTAGATTAAAAACATTTGATAAAGCATTACAGAGTTTGTCTCTTGCGTCCAAACTCAACATTTGTAAGCAAAATAAAAATGTGAAAGAAATTGACATTCTACCCAAATACTGTATACCATGGAAAAACGACTTTGGTTGATGCAGCACAAAATGCACAGTGTATACTTTCTTTTCGATATTAGTATAGTACTAACTGTATGTAACTATATTGAAGTATAGTGTAAACCATTTGAGAGATCATTATGGAAAATTCTGCTCCCCAGCTTCAGTCTGCGAAAAAAAAAGAGACAAAATCAATGAAATTAGTACAATGTTATGAGATATTTTCCATATTTATTTAACTTTGCTTTTTTTTTGATTTGATGGATTTTTCACATCTGTTTTTAGGAGTCAGCAGATAATGCTAAAAGGCAAGGACGTTATATGGTTCATAATCAACCGCCATTACAAATAATCTGGAGTTCCAACGTACCTACACCACCTAAATCATCTTCTAGTACTAGTAGTACCAGCATATCTCAATCTACAAAAACATCTTCAAGTCAGGCAATATCAAAACAAGGTTTGTAATCACTTAACAAATTTTTCATTGATCAGTTATATCACATATATCTTTATATTTTTGGGGGGTTGGATGGCCATATGGTCTAATTCATGCACTTTATATCAGAAGGTCTGTCATTGTGTCGGGGGGTTGGATGGCCGAATGGATAGCATGTGCGCGCTGCAATGCCTGTCATTGAGTCAGCTGATGTGGTTTCGAATCCCTGGTTTTACGTGACAAGGAGTAGGGTTGTCTGTCCAATCTTGTGGGTTTTCTCCGGGTCCTCCGGTTTCCTCCCACTGCTAAAGACCCCTACGCGCAACTAAATTATTGAAATAAAATTAAACCATATGTTAGTCCCGAAATGACCTAGTCTGTGTCGAGTGGAAGTTAAACCCCATTTCTCTCTCTCTCTCTCTCTCTCTCTCATCATTGTGTCAAGTGGTGTGGTTTCGATTCCCCGCTTGTACAAGACAAGGAGTAGGGTCACCTGTCCAACCTCGTGGGTTTTCTCCAAGTCTCTAGGTCCTCCCACTGCTAAAGACCCCTACACGCAAGCAAATTATTGAAATAAAATTGAACCATATGTTAGTCCTGAAATTATCTATTGTGTGGCAAGAGGACATTAAACCCTATTTCTCTCTCTCCATTGATATAGTTGAAATGGTTGGACAAATGAATTAGATCTAAGTTACTACTGGATGATAAAATAGTGAGAAAGGATGTAAACTTGATGACAATATAGTCCCAGTTAAACATAAGTACAGCAAACTTTGGTAGAATAAAACATAAGTTTATGACCTCTGATGGTTTTTACCTTTGATAAAGGGTTGTTATTATCTTTGATAAAGAGTTGTTAGTATTTTTGATAAAGGGTTGTTTTTATCTTTGATAAAGGGTTGTTTTTATCTTTGATAAAGGCTTATTACCTTTGATAAGGGGGTTGTTATTACCTTTGATAAAGTGTTGTTATTCCCTTTGATAAAGTGTTGTTATTCCTTTTGATAATGGGTTATTATTAAATTTATTAAAGGGTTGTTGAAAACAGGGTGTTATTACCTTTGATATTGCCTTTGATAAATAGCTGTTATTCCCTTTGATAAAGTGTTGTTATTCCCTTTGATAAAGTGTTGTTATTCCTTTTGATAAAGGGTTGTCGAAAAGGTTATTACCTTTGATATTGCCTTTGATAAATAGTTGTTATTCCTTTTGATAAAGAGTTGTTATTCCCTTTGATAAAGGGTTGTTTTTACCTTATATATGGTTTTGAGACTTGAAAAGTAATATAACATAACTGCTGTTTTATTCTACCCAAATCTCATGTACTTCTATTCAGTGGGGACAATGTGTATACAAGCTTTAAGCAGAAATTTTGACAAGATAGTCTTGTTTGTCAAGTACCATTACTACGATTATCTATTTTAACGTTAAATTATTAAATGGCGCGCTTGTTCTAATCCATTCCAATATCACAGCTATCCGAAGTTCTAGATAAGTTGATTATGGGATTGTCATGTGAATATATGTCTAAATAATAATTCATATATAAGATTTGAAGCTAGAAAAAAGACCTGCCAATGGAGATTTAGCTCTTACATAAGGGTCATTCCAAGTAAATCTGCTGAAGGATTATTAATCTACATAAAAAATTCTTCCAAATCCACAAATTTGAAGAATATTGTCTAACTAGAAGATATAGAACCAGTACACCAAGATCGAGTCATACAATAGTAGTTTCGAAACTTGCGAAGGGTACCCTGAATGTCTGTTAGCGATGTTCAAGGCACACTACATGGCATATTAAAATCTTCATTAGCCTAGTTGATGTGGGAAAGTAGGATGTTAAACAACATTTCATTTCATTTCATATCAAAAATTGTTGATTAGCCAATGTTGATCTGTGTCAGCAGGTTTTGTGGATATGTGACATATTTAATATTAAGCTAAATGTTTGTCACAAATGTCTTTTTATTTGTGTATTATTTTCCAGAACCAAGAGTTCGAAGAAGAACTATTGAAGATGTAGATTCGAAGGTTGCTATTGTAGTTAAAGGGATTCCGGCACACCTTAATAAAGTTTCTGTTCTAAAAGAACATTTTAAGAAATATGGAGATGTGAGGCGGGTCTATCCTAACATCAATAAAAACATGGCTACTATTCATTTTGATTCCCACGTAAGATTTTTTCTTTTTTTATCTGATGACTTACTGTTGGAGCAAAAAAGTAGGACGTTATACTCCATTTCATTCATTCGTTATAATATTAAATGATATAATGGAATAGAAAATAAACTAATGCTTATAATTAATTAATCAAACCAGTTTCTACATAGAAAATACTAAACACAGCAGCCATAACCAAATCACGAACCAAAACATCATCTCACAGAACACCTATTCTAAAATCTTTACATTGGCTCCCAATACCAGCTTGCATCAACTTTACGGTCCTGTACGTGCCACACACACCAGTGTCTATGATTTTTGACGGATCCTTTTGAAACTTTGCATACTTATTCTTTATACCCTAAGGGCGATCTCTGTTGTTTTTGGTGAATGCCAGACCCCCAGGGGTAGAGTCACACCCATTTTTTCTTTGTATGTCTGTGTGTTGCCTACAGGCCACAATTCTTAATGGATCCTCTTGGAACTTGGCATATGTTTTCTTTATAGCCTAAGGATGGCAACTATTGATTTTAGTGCATGTCCCAACCCCCAGGAGCAGAGCCACCCCCATTTTTGGTGTTTATCTTATACAGACTGCAATTCTGAATGGATCCTCTTGGAACTTGACATATGTATTCCTTTTAGCATGGCAACTATTGATTTTGGTGCATGCCCTGACCCCCTGGTGCAGAGTCCTGCCCAATTTTTGTTTTTAGCGTCTGATGGTCACAATTGTGAATAGATTATCTTGGAACTTGATATGCTTACACTAAAGGACGGCAACTATGGATTTGGGTGCATGATCTGCCACACCCCCTTTTTTGTTAATATTCTGTAATTATTAACAGATTTTGCATACAATTATGCATAATCCATCATAGGGTTGTACCTATTGGTAGCGTTCCATATCCAACCCCCGGGGGCTGAGCCACGCCAAATTTTTATGTTATTCGTCTACAGGCTGCAATTCTGAATGGAGCATCTTGGAACTTTACATATTTATTCCTTACACCGTAAAGACAGCAATTATTTGTTTTGGTGCATTTTCCGACCCTACATAAAAGTTATAAATAATAAAGATAACAATAATATTTTTAACTTTCCCTTTTTTTAATTTGATGGATTTTTCATGTCTGTTTTTAGGAGTCAGCAGATTATGCTAAAAGGCGAGGACGTAATCTAGCTCCTCAAGAACCACCAGTACAAATATTCTGGGGTTCCTACATGCCTACACCACTTAAATCATCTTCTAGTACTAGTTGTACCAGTGTATCTGAATCTACAAAAACATCTACAAGTCAGGCAATACCAAAACAAGGTTTGTAATCACTTAACAAATTTTTCATTTATCAGATATATCACATATATCTTTATATATTTGGTGGGGGAATGGATGGCCGAATGGTTTAATGTGTGCACTTTATATCATAAGGTCTGTCATTGAGTGGGGGGGGGGGGTGGATGGCCGAATGGTTAGCATGTGCGCACTGTATCATAAGGCCTGTCATTAAGTCAACTGGCATGGTTTCAAATCGCCATTTGTACATGACAAGGAGTAGGGTCGTCTGTCCAACCTCAGGGGTTTTCCCTGGGTCCTCCAGTTTCCTCCAACTGCTAAAGACCCCTATGCGCAAGCGAATTATTGAAATAAAATTCAAACCATGTGTTAGTCCCGAAATGACCTAGTCTGTGCCGAGTGGACGTTAAACCCCATTTCTCTCTCTCTCTCTCTCTCTCTGTCATTGAGTCAAGTGACATGGGTTCGATTCCCCGCTTGTACTTCACAAGGAGTAGGATCACCTATCCAACCTCATGGGTTTTTTTTGGGACCTCTGGTTTCCTCCCATTGCTAAAGACTCCTACTTATTGTAGCTAGAGTCATATAAATTTTGAGTTTTACATAAGTTTGTATGTATTATAACATATATTTTTTTCATAATATTCTGAGGGGGGACTCGACAACTTTCTTAGAATTTGGTCCACTGGACATGGAATAATGTATCTGCCAAAAGAAAGATTTATCTCTTAAATAATGTATCTTTAAAGATATACATGTATTATGGGAGATTAGATAAAGAGTTGGCAGTTATCACTATAATAGTTAAAAACTAGATAATGTAAAGAGAATTTGCTAAAAATATTAGTCAAATTGATCCACTCTGAACCGAAAATTTAGGGATTGAATTTTAGACCTAGCCTCGATCATCATTACTAAAGTCGGTACGATAAAAAACATAGTCTCGATTATCCATTTTTTGATTTAATCATCAATGAGCGTTGAGCAGCAGAGCTGGTTGTAATCCAGTAAATTTCGCAGGCTAACGATGACATCGAGAGTTGATTATGGTCTGGATAAGTTAATTAATATCTAATTAATAATTTAGATAACATTTTAGGCCTAAAGAAAGACCTTTAATTATGCCTTATAAATATGTATTTGAATAATGTCTTTCAGATGATGTTTCACCATTGAGAGACAGAAATCAAAAAAGTAAATGGGAGACGAGTGATGTGGATGATGAATTGGCAAGTATGGCGGGAACAGCAGATGTACAGGGTGGTGATATACGCAACTTAAATAGACCCAAAGAAGATGTTAAGAAAAAATCTGATGCTTACAGTCAACCGGTCGCTAAATCAGGACGTGTTTCTCCAGCACCTAAAGGAGGGAAAGTCTCTCCTACAGCGAGCCCCATTAAAACTACTAAAGGAGAGACAGGTATAAATTACGACATTGTACATTTTAAGCTAATTTATTATTCACAGTTCTGTGTATAACAATCACTATATTATATACACAAAACGTTTGACAAGATTTTTGGGGGTTAATCCTTTAGGTATGACGTCATTGTCCCTACAGCGCAATTAAAACATTAGATTGTCACAAACCATTATATACTTCTCTTCTGATTGTAGGGGGTTGGATGGCCGAATGGTTAGCGCATGCGTGTTGTATCTTAAGGTCTGTCATTGAGTCAACTGGTGTGGTTTCCATTCCCAGGTTGTACATGACAAGGAGTATGGTCGCCTGTCCAACCTCGTGGATTTTCTCCGGGTCCTCTGGTTTCCTACCACTGCTAAAGAACCCTACGCCCAAGCAAATTATTGAATTAATGTCAGTCCCAAAATGACCTAGCTTGTGTCGAGTGGAGATAAACCCATGTTCTCTCTTTGTATCTCGACAAGATTTCACTTGTTTTTATTAAGCATACAAAATTATAAATGAGGAATTAATGTATATGAGGTATATTCATCAATAATATAAGGACCCGTAAATTAACAATCATGAAACCCTACGTTATATTGATTACAGAGTTAGTACTAGAGTAGGGCTTGATTATATTAAAGGACAATATTGGTGTCAGTCATTATCATATATATGATAGAACTGGTTAAACACGTTCAAATATAATTTTAACACATAGATCATTGCTACGATAGAAGCGTAATAAGGGTTTCAACAATCGGAAGTGACGAACGCAAAAGGAAAACACGAATTATCCCTCTGTATAACTGACTGAGGTGACGAGTGATAACAGATATACATGTATGGGTGAATTTCTGCTCACTAATAATTCCTTCAAAACACAAAACAAAAATAGAAAAAGTCTGTGCATTACCATGTTTTTATTAAATATAGAATGAATAAAAACAAGGGAATGTACGGACTATTTCTATTTTTCTCTTGTTTTCTTATCTAATGACATTCAATTACTTTATTGAATTGTCAGATATCCTCTTACAGTCTCATATAACAACCTTTGGTCTTTGAAGGAATTAGTGAGCAGAAATTTGCCCGTGTATCTGTTATCACTCGTCATTTCAGTCAGTTATATAGCGGGATAACTTGTGTTTTCCTTTTATGTTCGTCACTTCTGTTTCTTGAAATCTTCATAATGCATCTATTGTAGCAATGATCTATGTGTTAAAATTATATTTGGAACGTGTTTAACCAGTTCTATCACATATGTGATAATGACTCACACCAATATTGTCCTTTAACAGTGAATGTGATTTCTACTAAGGATAGAAAATTTATTAAACTGGCATTATGCAAGAGGTAAATCTGCCTCTTGCAGGTCTTTCTTGAGGCCAGAAATGTTATATAAACTATTAATTAGACATTTGTTAACATGAAAAGATCATAATAAACTCTAGATGCCATCTTATGTGTCCGATTTGAATCTGATCTGCGGTTCAATGCCCATTGATGATTAATCTGCAAAAATGGATAATTCAGACTTTGTTAATTATCGTGACAGCGGTAACAATGACAGTCGATGCTACAGTGATTTTAAAATAAAGTTTTTTCGGCTTAGAGTGAAGCAATTTGACTGAAATTTTCAGCGTATTCCGTTTACATTATCTAGTTTTTAACTATTATGGTGACAACTGCCAATGCTTTATCTAATCTTCCATATTGTATCTGTAAGACTTTTTCATCAGTTATAGGTGTTTTAATACAGGATTTTATTGTCATCCTAATGCTATGTACTTTATGTTTACAGCATCATTTACAGCCTTATTTCAAGCTATATGTAGAACAGTTTGGGAAAAGAAAGAATTATTGGACCTTAGAGACAAGTTGATACGACAAGCAGGTAAATATTGATGAAATAAAATGAAATGGGGTTTAATGTCCTATTGTTCTGCTCCGACTGGGCTTATGAGGACGTGCATAACCCGTCCAATGTGCTGTGAGAGAAATTTTGCCCAGACAGCGGCGCTACGGCCTACTCTTATATTGGAATTCCAACCAAGTAGCTGCTCATAGGCACAAATCACAAGCACTCATTAAACATATGACAGTCGAAAAAATTCTGCTTTTAAAGTCCCTGTGAAGGTCTGTACATTTTCATATTTGGAGCAGCTGTAGAAAGGGCACATCCTCGTTTGAATTTGAGAGATTTTGAATCTATTGCAATCTCTAAAATCATTAGAGTTCTTTTTCGTAGCATCTGAACGACTAGACACTGTCCTTGCCAGGCCCCATATCCTGCACCACTGACAAGGGGAAACTACGCTGGAAGATCCTTAGGACAAGTAAAATTATATTAAATATATTGATGTAATGTTACAGGTTCAGGTGATAAGAAAAAGAGCGATTTAGCTACAGCCAAGGCATTCACCGGAACTTGTCCAGATATGTGTCCAGAAAAGGAAAGATATGATAGACAGGAAACTAGAAGACTTAGTATTTATGAAATGATTCCAGGCACCGAAAATGTGGTAAGAATTTAAATGCTTGGATGTTAAAAATTGCATACATAAAATTCTGTTAGTCATTAAAAGTTTAGAAACATGTTACACAATCCTTCATCAAGGTGTATGCATAAAAATTCTGTAGTTTCATGGTGATTAATGAAATGGATTTTGTTGAAAGTAAACATATTTTTTTTTTGTGGACTAAGGGGAGACAATTGGTAAATGGATAGTTACCCCCCTTGACAGACTAAATTTGTGTTTGGGGCAACATTTTATGGTTTATAGAGGATTATTAATTGTTATTATCAATATATGCTATTGTAGGCTACCTAACCCTCACAGATAGAGTGGATTATCAGATATACCATGCTCGAGTTGCTATATTTTATAGTGGATAATCAATTGTTATGAAAAATATATTTGTTATTGTATTATTTGTTGTTATTAATATATTTGTTATTGTAGGCTAATCAACCACCACAGATAGATCACAATCGCGCTGTTAAAGAATACAGTAGATCTTCAGCTGATCAGGTTAATGTCTTTTACCTTTATAATACATTTTAAAATATCTTTAAAGATACATTATGGGAGATTAGATAAAGAGCTGGCAGTTCTCACTATAATAGTTAAAAACTAGATAATGTAAAGGGAATATACTGCAAATTGATCCACTCTGAATTGTGAATTTAGCGATTGAATTTCGAACCTAGCCTCGATCATCATTACTAAAGTCATTACGATAAAAAACATAGTCTCGATTATCTATTTCTTGATTTAATCATGAATGAGCATTGAGCAGCAGATCGGATCCTAATCTAGTAAAATATCACAGGTTAGCGATGACTCAATTCAGTCATATTTGTTAATTATGTGACTATGAATAGGCATCAAGCGTGTATATACAGATATGTGTTGTTCAGTTTGGTAGATCACCGCCGCCAAGTAAATGAAATGAAATGAAATGAAATGGGATTTAACGTCCTACTGTTCTGCTCCTATACTGGAACCACGCTGGAAAATCTGGATGAACTTTCTCGGCCAATGCAGGGATCAAACACCCGACCTCCAGGCTAGCGAGCTAGCGTCTTATCCACTTAGCCACGTGATCCCCCGCCGCCAAGTAGGTCAGATATTTAATCTGATTGTATATATATCATCTGTATGGTTTTAATGGTGTAACGAATTCTTTATATACATCAGTCTTTTTTCAGTATTTGTCAAGACACTGGCAGTCTGTCTACAATTAGCTCTGCTTGAGAACAGACATTTAGCTAGTTGACCAACTTTTTGAGTCCTAAATCGAAGATTTTAGTCGAAAACACTAATGTTTTGCTTTTATTTAGGGGGGGGTGGATGGCCGAATGGTTAGCATGTGCGCGCTGTATCATAAGGTCTGTCATTGAGTCAACTGGTGTGGTTTGGATTCCCACTGCTACAGAAACCTATGTGCAAGCGAATTATTGAAATAAAATTGAACCATATGTTAGTCCCAAAATGATATAGTGGATGTTAAACCCCATACCTCTCTCTCTCTCTCTCTCTCTCTCTCTCACACTCACTTTCTCTCCCCCACTCCCCCCCCCCATCCCCCTGTCAGTGTTAACTCAGTAATGCTTGTAATGGCAATACCTTTCTTGATTTAATGTTAGGGGCCCTTATTCACGAAAACTTAAACTAAGATAAAATCGAAATTTTAAGAAATACTGCAATTCGATTGACTGACCAGTAAAATCAATTTGCATATATCCAATTTGCATATTGGTCAGCCAATCGAATTGCAGTATTTCTTAAAATTTCGATTGTATCTTAGTTTAAGTTTTCGTGAATAAGGGCCCTGTTTTATAATTAATTTTGTTATTTTAAAACCGGTTTTAATAGACTGAACCCCTCCAACATGAACTACGACCTGAACAGGTGTTGTTGAGTACAATGACATATTTATTACGAGAAATAGCTGATCGTGGTGAAGAAGAAAGATGGGCTGATTGGTATGATTTCTTGTGGAACCGGACCAGGGGAATTAGAAAGGTATATCAATATTCTGCTTACACTGTAACCCAGGTATCATTTAATCTTGTGTATTCAGCACTAATTTCTATCACATTCATTCAGTATCAAATCTTTGTTTAAAAATTTGCAAAAATTGTATAAAATCACAAAAAATCATCTAATCGTATAAAGTCATTAAAATGTCATTATGTGAAAACTAAATCTGCCTATTGCAAGGTTTGTTTCTGGCTTCAAATGTTATATGAATTATTAGTTATATATTTATTCACACGGCAAGCCCATAATCAAATCTCTAGATCATTGGTTGGCTGAGATATTGAGTGGATTACACAATGTCCACCATATCTTTTAGCCAGTTATACAATCTTTAAAGTAGCAATATTTGTTTTTATTTTGTAAAAATCAACCATGTCTGGTATTTGCCATGGAGACAAAACATACTGTTGTCATCTACATGTACAAACATATTGAGTGTCGGAAACCTTCACATTTCCCAAATGCAACATTTGAGAACCTTAATTCTTAAATTGGTTGGTTATTAAAATAGTATTTGTTTATAGTAAGTAGGGAACCATGGTGACTCAGTGGGTAGGATGTGGGCTTGCTAATGGAGGTCGCATGTTCGATCGAATTCAAGTCTGTTGAAAATCGTAGCCATCAGATGGCCTTGTGAATTGATTATGGTCTTGTTTTGTTAATAAATGTCTAATTAATAATTTATATAATATTTCAGGCCTAAATAAAGACCTGCAATAGGCAAATTTAGCTCTTGTATAATGTATGTTTAATCCCCTTTTGTTATCGTTTACTATGGTCACCTGTACCCATTTCTATTACAGAAATAGTTGACAATTATTGACAATTTTTAATTTTTTTTACCAAAATTAAAGATGTTTAGTTATTTTAACCATTTAGCTTCTGGCAGATGTAAATATTGACTGCCCATTTCAGATGGTTCTAGTGCTAATGCTAGGTTCCCACTGTCACGATTTGTGCTATGAATGAAATTGTGGTTCTAAGCGTGGAGTAATCGTGGTGATCCTGTCACATGGCCAGTCGTAGCAATCGTGTTGATAGTATCAGAACGTATCCGAACGTATCTAAGATTGTGGACTCAATAGGGACAATCCTATAGTAATGCATCACCTGACAGAGAGAGAAATGGGGTTTAACGTCCACTCGACACAAACTAGGTCATTTCGGGACTAACATAATGTTTTAATTTTATTTCAATAATTCGCTTGCGCGTAGGGGTCTTTAGCAGTGGGAGAAAACCCACGAGGTTGGACAGGCGACCCTACTCCTTGCCACGTACAACCGGGGATTCGAAACCACGGCAGTTGACTCAATGACAGGCCACATGATACAGCACGCGCGTGCTAACCATTCGGCCATCCAACCCCCCCAATGACATTGGGAGTCTAGCATAAAGGATGAAACCTGATCATTTTTGGTTTATTTCCATTGTCGGTGATATCACCTCAGGGGACATTAAATAAAGCTCTAACACACATGGTTTATTTTTGTAGGATATTACACAACAGCAACTGTGTAATAAAAATGTGGTAGAACTGATAGAAAAATGTGTCCGATTCCATATATACTGTTCACATCGGCTCTGTGAACAAGACATGATGGTCTTCGATAGTAAAATAAATGATGAAAATATGACAAAATGTCTACAAACTCTGAAGGAGATGTATTATGACTTGGAGAAAAATCAGTTGATCTTCTGTGAAAATGAGGCAGAATTCCGAGCTTATATGGTATTAGCTAATCTGAATCAAGGAGATACATTACGGTAAGTTAGATACATTACGGTAAATGGTGTTTTATATATTTTGGTAGGCCATTAACTTCTTCCAAACTTGGGTAAGATGCTGGCTCGCTAGCTTGGAAATGAAATGAAATGAAATGGGGTTTAACGTCCTACTGTTCTGCTCCTATACTGGGTTAATGGAGACGGACGCTAGCTTGGAGGTTGTGGGTTTGCTCCCGGTGTAGACTCAGAAAGTTCATCAGGATTTTCGGAGTAGTTTCCGCTTGTCAGTGGAACAGAAAGGAGGGTGTGACAAGGACAGCTGTCTAGTCGTTAGAATGGGATTAAAAACCAAGGTTCTGTGTACATATTGGCGTGCACGTAGAAGATCCCTTGGCAGTTGGAATTTGATATAAGAATAGGTCGTAGTGCCGCTGTCTGGGCAAAATTTCCCCCCTCATAGCACACTGCATGCCTCTTTACATTAGTCTGGTTGATGCAGAAAAGTACGACCAAGTCTGGACATTAGCTACCTGTCATAAACTTTTGTTAGACATAAATTATCACACAAGGCTTTTATTATAATGTGACAGGTACCTTATGTTCAGGCTTGAGTGAAATGAAACGAAATGAAATGGGGTTTATCTTCCTATTGTTCTGCTCTGAACTGGGCTAACGAAGACGGGCATATGCGCCATACAGTGTGCTATAAGGAAAATTTTGCCTGGGCAGTGGCGCTATGGCCTCTTCTTATATCGAATTCCAACTGCCACAGGATATTTTGCATGCCCGTCAAATAAAAATACAGAAAATACGAACTGAACTTGATGATTTAAATCAAACTATTGACTTTAACGCTCATGATTTTGATAAGTTAGAAAATTCTGTTTATTTAGAAAATTTTAACTTGGTTAGTGAATCTTATGTTTTAAAGCTAATTAAATCGTCTGCTCCTAAATCTTGTTCATTAGATCCTGTTCCGACTTCTGTTCTTAAGGACTGTCTAGACGAAGTTATTCCAGTTTTTACCAATATTATTAATTCTTGTATATCATCCGCTACTATTCTACACTGGATCCTAATGTTTTTAAAAATTACAGGCCAGTCTCTAACTTAAGTTTTATTTCTAAAATATTGGAGAAATGTATTGCTTCTCAGATAAAGACCCATCTAGATGATAACTGTTTGTATGAACCATTTCAAAGTGCTTATAAACAATTTCACAGTACCGAAACAGCTTTAACCCGGGTTTCAAATGATATTTTAATGGAAATTGATAATAGAAAATGTTCATTTTTTAATTTTATTAGATTTATCTGCTGCTATTGACACGGTGGACCCTTCCATTCTTCTACGTAGACTTCAATTTAAATTCGGTATTTGTGGCTCTGCATTAAATCTTTTAGAGAGCTATCTTGTGGGTAGAAAACAGTATATTTTAGTTAATTGCAAATCGTCGTCTGAATCTGTTTTGTCATCTGGGGTTCCCCAAGGTTCTGTTCTTGGTCCGATTTTATTTACCCTCTATACGTCACCATTAGGAGATATTGTCAGAAAATATGGTCTCAGCTTTCATTTGTATGCCGATGATACTCAGTTATATATTTCATTTACACCTAATTGTCCATCTTCTTTCAATTTATCAAAATTGCAACTTGAGAACTGTATTAGTGAAATTAGAAAATGGATGTCAAAGAACTTTCTAAAATTGAATGATGATAAAACCGAATATTTGTTATTAGGCTCAAGGCATCAATTAAGTAAATCTGCACAAAATAACCCCCCTGTTGTAATTGGTAATTGTGATATATTTTCATCTTATTCTGCTCGTAATATTGGCGCTATCTTTGATAGTTTTATGCTTATGGGAGCTCAAGTAAATAATATTTGTAAATTGTGCTATTTTAATATTAGAAATATAGGTAAAATACGTAAATGTGTAACTGTAGAGGCCACAAAGTCACTTGTTAATTCTCTGGTCACTTCTCGATTAGATAACTTTAATTCACTTTTAGTTGGTTTACCTTTAAAGCTTATAGATAAATTACAAAAAGTACAGAATACTGCGGCTAGACTTGTTACTTTAACTAAGAAATGTGACCACATAACTCCTGTTTTATATAATTTACACTGGTTACCTGTTAAATATCAAATTGATTTTAAGATTTTATTACTTACTTTTAAATGGTTAAATAATTTAGCTCCTGTTTACCTCTCAGATCTTTTAGACCTTTATATACCTGGCCGAACATTACGTACATCAGATAAACTACTTTTAAAGCCCAAAACTGTTCAACTAGTCTCTTATGGTCAGCGCTCTTTTAGTTATCAAGCACCTGTTTTATGGAATAATCTACCATTTGGTTTAAGATGTTGTACATCTCTATATTCTTTTAAAAAACAACTTACACATTTACTTTATTTAATCAGGCTTTTAACTGACTCTGTATACAATCGTTAACATGTCCATAATCTTGTTGTTTATGTGTGATTTACATTGTCACTTTGTAAAGTGCCCCTGAACATGTTATATGAAAGGGTGCACTATAAATATGCTGTAATAATAATAATAATAATGGGACCTCAGTTTTTTGTCCCATCTGAATGACTAGACGTCTGTCCTTGTCAGGCCCTCCGTCCTGTATCACTGACAAGGGGAAACCACGTCGGAAAATCAGGATGAACTTTCTCGGCCAATGCTGCCAGGCTTGAGTACAACATTATACATCATTTCATTTGTATTCAAGATTGTATAACCATTCTGTTACAGTGAAGTTCAAGAATTACGTGATGTTGTACGCCAGTCTCCAGAAATTCGTTGGGCTTTGAAGATTTATTCAGCTTTAAACAGTAATAATTATGTTAGATTTTTTCGACTGGTAAAGCAGGCATCATTTCTAAATGCCTGTATAGTTCATCGATATTTTACACAAGTTCGTAGAAAAGGTTTACTGACTTTGAAGAAAGCCTTGGGAAAACACACAAAGGTAATTAAGCTAATTCATTTGATAAAAAAATAATTGTATTTTTTTTAAAAAACAACAATTTACTCATAAATGAAGGGGATTTCCTTTAAATATAAACATTTCAATTTGAACATTAAAGATACAATGCTAGGATAAAAAAAAGTAGCAAAATTTACACAATTCGAGAATTGACTTTATATACATATATGACATGTAGTTGGGTTGTCTGTCCAACCTCGTGGGTTTTCTCTGGGTCTTCCAGTTTCCACCCACTGCTGAAGACCCCTACGCACATGTGAATTATTGAAATAAAATTGAACCATATGTTAGTCCCGATATGACCTAGTTTGTGTCGAGTGGACCTCTCTCTCTCTCTCTCTCTCTCTCTCTGTATTAAGTATATTGTTGAAGTGCAAATGTCTGATTTTTTAATATTTGTAAATTTTCAGTACCCACACCTTGTTAAAGTGTTTGCCTTTGAAGATACTGATGAAGCAGATGAATTTTGTGCTTATTATGGTTTGCGTTCTAATAATGGTTTTCTAGCTGTTGATAGTGGTCCTTTTGTTGATCCAGAGGTAGCAGTACCACCTAAACGATCTATTACATTGATAGAGTCAAAACGTACAATTCCAGTCAGAGAGGTGAATTCTGTTAAAGTTTGACGTATTATGACAGTGTTACGATACTCTGTTTTCACAGGATTTCCGGTGTGGTTCCTTCTTATCAATTGGTGCAGGACGTACCAGCCAGGGAAGGAACAGTGTCTAGTTGGTGTGCACGTAAAATAACCCTTGACAGTTGAAATTCAATTGCAGTCCGGGCAAAGTTTCACTTTTATCCCATTGCCTTGTGTATGGGGAATCACAGTGGCTAGGTGGGTAAGACGCTGGCTAACTAGCCTGGAGGTCATGTGTACACATTGGCATGCACGTAAAAGATCCCTTGACAGTTGAATTCGATATAAGAGTATGCCGTAGTGCCGCTGTCTGGGCAAAATTTCCCTCATTACACATTGTATGGCGTATGCTCATCTTCATTAGCCCAGTTCGCAGCAGAACACTAGGACGTTAAACCTCATTTCATTTCATTTACATTGTGTATGCCTGTCTTCATTAGCCAGATTGGAGTAGAAAAGGGGGTTGGATGGCTGAATGGTTAGCACGTGCACGTTTTATCATAAAGCCTGTCATTGAGTCAACTGGCATGGTTTAGAATCCCCGGATGTACGTGACAAGGAGTAGGGTCGCCTGTCCAACCTTGTGGGTTTTCTCTGGGTCCTCCGGTTTCCTCCCACTGCTAAAGACCCCTACACGCAAGCGAATTATTGAAATAAAACTTAACCATGAGTTAGTCCCGAAATGACCTAGTTTGTGTCGAGTGGACGTTAAACCCCATTTCTCTCTCTCTCTGAAGTGGAAAAGTAAGACTTTAAACCCCATTTCATTCCATTCCATATTGGGATATACAATATTGTTATGCATGTTATTGCTGATCAAACAATAAACTATTTTTATATTGGTTATAGGTGATAAATGGTGGAGAGTTACCAGAACTAAATCTACCACCTCCATCAGTTAGTTTTGATAAATATGGGAAGTTTGTGTCCAAGAAGGAGATTTTATCAGAACGTTAGTACATCATATTATTTCTTTCCTGTGATTTGCAGTTTATTTTCATAACAAAGAATTCATGTTGATTTAGGTTTTGTTATATGGCCTCTGTAAGTTTGGCTCCTAATAGCATTACAGTCAAAGCCTCCATAAGAATCATTTAATAATCAGTGTACCCTAATATAAGTAGAAACTCTTGACAGTTGGCTGTAGTGCCGCTTTCGGCAAAATTTCCCCCCATAGCACACTGTATGGTGCATGCCCGTCTTAATTAACCCTGTCGGAGCAATAAAGTAGGCTGCAAACCCCATTTCATTTAATGGGTAAAACTTTATTTGTATTCTATAATGATTTTACTAAAGTTAAGATACCTTTTCTTAAAGGGACATTTTCTAAGATTAGATAAAGAGCTGGTAGTTCTCACTACAGTAGTTAAAAACTAGATAATGTAAAGGAATATGCTGAACCGAGATACTAGCAATTAAATTTTAGGCCTAGTCTCGATCATCATTACTAAAGTCTTGATTACCCATTTCTGGATTTAATTATCAGTGAGTATTGAGCAGCAGATCGGATTCAAATCCAGTGAAAATCTGAAGCATAAAAATAAGATAGTATCGAGAGTTGATTAAAATCTTTTCATGTTAATAAACGCCTAATTAATAGTTTAGCCTAAAGAAAGACCTGCAATAGGCAGATTTAGCTCTTGCATAATGTATATTTAAGAGTTTTGTGCAATCTATAAAGGTGTTGCGATAGTAAATTTACTTGTTATAGGAAACCCCTTGTTTGTAATGTATCTAGGTCTCACTATAGTCTGTTATAGGGGAATCCATGTTTTTAATGTATATTGAATTTTTATTTTATAGTTAATGTACAAGTACCTTCGACTAGTAGTGTTAGTGAAAATATAGAGATACCTGTCCAACCATCTACAATCACTACAACTACTACAACTACTCCTACAACAGACTATATCTACTCAAACGAGGTAAATTAATACAAATACTTTTTATATTGTCGTCGCCACTGTCTGTCCATTAATATCCGACTGATACACAGTGATTAAGGTCATCAGACGAATAAGCCTATTGATTTTCAAAGATTTCCGATAATTACTGTCAGAGTTATGGCCCTTGATCACTTTGAAAAATCTTGTGACGCTCTAGAGGCTAAAGTTATGCTTTAGAGACCATAGTTATCATCTTGATTAATTTTATATTTATACACTGTGTTTACGCCTATATATAATTGTTTCGATTGACTTTAGATTGATACACAGAGTTTAATGTCTTGACACGAACAAGTATATTGATATTCAATGATTTTTGATAACAAATTCTAATGATTTTGTGATAATTATTTAATGAGTTGTTACTCTTAATCAGATTTTAGTGTATTATAAATGCGACACAACTCTTGTAGACTGCTCGTACGACTTAGCTGCCATGGGCGTTTGTTTCGTTGCCTGGCAATATATCTTTATATTCTGATTGGATCCACGAATTATTTACTGTTGATATTTTAATTGAATATTAAATAATCCATTTAAAACCTTGAAAATTATATATATGGTTCGTAAAATGCAAACATAGATAGAAATTTTTTGATATGATTTTATTTCAGGCTATTAAAGGAGTGACTAGAGAGATCTTCCTAGAAGTTATTAATGAATATGTATTAGATATAGCTAAAGGTCCTGTTTTAGCACAACAATACTTCCATAGTATCGGTACAGCTGTTATACAAGAATTGAGTTTTAATATACAGAAAGATATGATCAGGTATGTTAAATCCTATCCAGTATACTCCCTTACCACTGGTTTCCTCCCACTGCTAAAGAGAGAGAGAGAGAGAAATGGGGTTTAACGTCCACTCGACACAAACTAGGTCATTTCGGGACTAACATATGGTTTAACTTTATTTCAACAATTCGCTTGCGCGTAGGGGTCTTTAGCAGTGGGAGGAAACCGGAGGACCCGGAGAAAACCCACGAGGTTGGACAGGCGACCCTACTCCTTGTCACGTACAACCGGGGATTCGAAACCACGCCAGTCGACTCAATGACAGACTTTATGATACAGCGTGCGCACGCTAACCATTCAGCCATCCAACCCCCCTCCACTGCTAAAGACCACTGCGTGCAAGTGAATTATTTAAATAAATTGAACCATGCATTAGTCCCGAAATGTCCTAGTTTGTGTGAAGTGGACATTAAACCTCTCTCTCTCCCCCTCTCTCTCTCTTTCTCTCTCTCTCTCTCTCTCTCTCTCTCTCTCTCTCAAAACTAAGATGTTAAACCCAATTTCATTTATTGCTTTTTGTTCCAATGGATTAATTACAAATAGATTTGAAGATGAAATGAAATGGGGTTAAATGTCCATCTGTTCTGCACCGACTGGGCTAATGAAGACGGAATTTTAAGAGAGAAATGGGGTTTAACGTCCACTCGACACAAACTAGGTCATTTCGGGAATAACATGGTTCAATTTTATTTCAATAATTCGCAGTGGAAGGAAACTGGAGAACCCTGAGAAAACCCACAAGGTTGAACAGACGACCCTACTCCTTGTCACGTACAACTGGGGAATCGAAACCGCACCAGTTGACTCAATGACAGACCTTAAGTTACAGCGTGCACACGCTAACCATTAAAATACAGATCTATATTTCGTTTCGTTTTTTATACTTTATGAAGATCTGGTCAGTTGTAGTGGGAGGTTGCGTTTGGTGTCATACGAGCAGCTTTTGACCTTATGACGTTGGACATTGATTGATCAATCATCGTTGATGTTTCTAGTGGTTTAGCCAAAGTTCCGTGCACCTTGCGCCAAAATCTCGCCATAACAGACTGTTTCATTGGCTAATCCTTCCCATAATCCAGAACGCGGGTTATATAACAACTCTTCCAGATCCTAGTGTAGTAAAGACAAGTAAAACGAAATTTTGAACTGTAAAAAACGAAACGAAATAGGAACTGTTTTAATCAGATTGACATAAAAAGTAAAAGTTTGGATTTGACAAATAATGCACACTAATTTTATCATATAATTTCCGCATATTTTGAAATTACTGTTCAAATATTGTAAACAATGACTTATGACTTCCGAATCATATTGCTGTCACTATGATTTCATGTTAATTACTCCATAAGTATAATAGTGAGTTGACAACCTATGCCAAAGACATAAAAATGATTATGTTTTGACTTTCTTAGAAAATATGAAATTGTAACTTTAAAGGCATATATCTCAAATTAAGGACAAACTATTTTAATGTAAGGACTTGGTATTATGAATGTCCCAATATCAAAAATATGGTATATCATTTTAAAGACTTGATATTATGAACATACCAATGGGCTTGTACGACAAACGTTGCTGCTTTATTATTACTCAATTTGTCTAAGACACATAAAAGTGGTGTTGTGAAATGAAAAGAAACCAATGTAGCCTTTAAATTGTCTTTATTAAAACTAAATCTGTCTATTGCAGGTTTTTTTTTTAGGCCTTAAATGTTATATAAATTGTTAATTAGACATTTATTAACTTGCCAAGTCATGATTATTTCATCGATGTCAATCTATTTTGTAGAGAATTGTGTGAAGAAGTTATACAAGATGAAGAGAGAGTGAGAAAATTAGCGAAGGAACAAAGAGAACTAGACGAGAGAATGAGGAAGGAAAAAGAGAGAAAGGAGAGGTTAGACAGACTGGCACAAGAAATAATGGAGGAGTACATGACAGACGTCTGTCAACAAGACTCGAAGAACATGGCAGTGGCTGAATATAGGTAAATAATTCAGAGGATTTATTTTGTATGATTTAATGCTAGGTTCCCACTGTCTTGCGATGTGTTATGAAAGGATTGTCCTTATTGAGTCCAGGGCTGGGGTAATGGTAATGGAATGTAATCATTACATTTTTTAAGTAATGGCCATGTAATGAGTAATGGAAGATTTCAAAAGTAATGAGTAATGGAAATGTAATTAATTACATTCCAAAAATCATGTAATGGTCAATTACATTTCAATTACTTTTCAATTACATTTTATGACATATATAAATATTTCCAATATGACAAGCCTCAAATTTTATAAAACCAAAGAAGTAATTAAGTGTATCTGACACAAATCCAATTCATTATAATTCTAAAAAAAAAAGATTTAATCAGTTTTAAAAAATTATAAGAAAAATAAGAAGGCATTAAACATTTTCTTTATTACTTTTTATGTAGGAACCTTTTTTAGACATGTAACCTAAGAAGTGGATTTCTGATAAGATGTATATTATAATCAAAGATTAGTACTAATTTGCAGCCAATCACTCAGTCAATCAATCAATCAATCAATCAATCAATCAGTCAGTTAGATTAAAAGAAAATAAATAGTCTTACTGCACTTTAATCTTAATCTCAAGGTAACAAGTGACAAACCAAACAATGACCTTCAAGTATCTCATCATTTTATGGTTACTTAAAACTAATATATATTTTGTTTTAGAGTCATGCTGAATAATTTACCATTTATTATACAATATATTATAGAAAAACTATTTGGACTGATTAAATTTTTTAAAAAATTACTTAAAAGAAAATACAGTTAATTAACTATAGTTTTGATTCACGATCTGGTATGTGTCCACGATCTGGTATGTGTAGATACATTCAGATTCGTTTCGGATCAACACAATTGCCACAACTGACAACAATATTCGTTGCGCGAATCGTGATAGTGCGAACCTAGCATAAAGAATGAAGTCTTTCAAACATTCACGATCTGATATGTGTCCACGATCTGGTATGTGTAGATACATTCAGATTCGTTTGGGATCAACAATATTCGTTGCGCGAATCATGATAGTGCGAACCTAGCATAAAGAATGAAGTCTTTCGAACATTCACGATCTGGTATGTGTCCACGATCTGGTATCTGTAGATATATTCAGATTCGTTTCGGATCAACACGATTGCCACAACTGACAATAATATTCGTTGCGCGAATCGTGATAGTGCGAACCTAGCATAAAGAATGAAGTCTTTCGAACATAAAGATTAGATCCCTTCTAAATTCTTAAAGTTACAATTTCATATTTTTAAGTTATATTTTTAAAATGTATTAAAATAAAGCCCTAAAATAGATGGTATCTATAAACAGTCCTACCTTGTTAAAGAATAATCCAATTAATCCTATAATTTGCTATTGCCAGTTGAGAAATTGGCAAAAATATCATTTTCAACTTCAAATTCAAACGTTTGAAGATAGCTATTCCATGGTGGGGAATAGAAAACAAGGGAGGTAATTCAGAGGTAATTGTGTTATTATTTCCGGTGTGAAGGTTTTTAAGTATGAGAAAGATCGTATAATAGTGAGTTGACAACCTATGCCAAAGACATAAAAATGATTATGTTTTGACTTTCTTAGAAAATATGAAATTGTAACTTTAAAGACATATATCTCAAATTAAGGTCAAACTATTTTAATGTAAGGACTTGGTATTATGAATGTCCCAATATCAAAAATATGGTATATCATTTTAAAGACTTGATATTATGAACATACCAATGGGCTTGTACGACAAACGTTGCTGCTTTATTATTACTCAATTTGTCTAAGACACATAAAAGTGGTGTTGGGAAATGAAAAGAAACCAATGTAGCCTTTAAATTGTCTTTATTAAAACTAAATCTGTCTATTGCAGGTTTTTTTTTAGGCCTTAAATGTTATATAAATTGTTAATTAGACATTTATTAACTTGCCAAGACCACAGTCTGATCTGATCTGATCTGATCTGATCTCTCTCTTTCTTTCTCTCCATCCATCCATTCATTCATCCATCCATCCATCCATTCATTCATTCATTCATCCATCCATCCATCCATCCATCCATCCATCCATCCATCCATTCATCCATCCATCCATCCATCCATCCATCCATCATCCATCCATCCATCCATCCATCCATTCATCCATCCATCCATCCATCCATCCATCCATCCATCCATCTATCCATCCATCTATCTATCTGTCTGTCTGTTTTAGGGATGTACAGAGTAAACTAAAGGAAAAGAGAATAGAGAGATGTAACGAGAGTTTAATGGAAGAGATAGTTCAAGATGTTGTATCTGATATCATAGATGAAATCGCGGCAGATGTCTTCGAAGTTAATGTTGTCCAAAGATTAGAACAATTCCGAGAAGCAGAAAATATAATCAAATTAAAACGTTGCGGTTTGTATTTTCAAGTTTGGAAGCAGAGATATGTAGCTCAGATTAAACTGAAACGAGCCATGCTGGCGTTCCCCTGTGGTCCATCTGCCCAGGGCCCCAAATTTCAATTGCAGGATTTACTACCTGATAGACGGAATAATGATATTTGTGATAAAACCATGTTTTTGGATCAGAAGACAAAATTAGCGCTAGAACCGGCAACAGATCTGGAAAAAATGAATCTGATGTTGACGGCCAGACTTTCTATCGCCTTTCAGCAACAGCATCTTCGACAGATTAAAGCGTGGCAGCCGTTAGACATCCCGCGACTCATGCAACCAGAGCTATTGAAAATATCTCATAAAGCTGATAACAACCACTTGTCTAAACGGTTGACATGGAAACTAGTGATGTCACTTCCTGATACAACACCCAGCAACGCATCTACTAATAAACACACTAAAGATTTCTGTGATTGGTTGAAAACTAAATTTAGACGAGGTGCTATCCCAGAATGCAATAATGACAATTACAAGGTATAGTTGACAGTTTATTAAGTTTAGTTTTATTTTTATTCTGTGTCGGGAGCCACAGTGGCTCAGTGAGTAAGATGTTGGATCGCTGAGGTCCCATGTTTAATACCTGCTTTGCGGATCATTGGGCTTTATCGGTGTCTCCCTGTCAGAGGGCCTGGCAAGGTACAATGTATAGTTGTTTGTATGAAGAACCAAGGTCCTGTGTACACATTGGCAGACACGTAAAAGATCCCTTGGCAGTTGGAATTCGATATAAGAGTATGCCGTTGCGCTGCTGTCCAGGCTAAATGTGCTAACCAGAAGTTGACCAAAGGAGTGTCTTAACATCTGGGGGGGGGGGGGGTCAAAGGTCTGTCATTGAGTCAAGTGGCCTGGTTTCGATCCGAAGCTTGAAATGAAATTGAACCATATTTTAGTCCATAAATGATCTAGTTTGTGTCGAATGGTTGTTAAATCCCATTTCTGTCCCAATATTTGCAACTGGTGGGGAACATGAGTTTTGAGAGAACACTTATTAAATACATAACTATAAATATGAAAATTGAAAACCTTTTTAATAATTTTGAATTGTTTTCTCAACAGGGAGAAATATTAAGTTTGTATAATACTAGTATTGATGGTAACCATGGCAGGCAGCCATTACAGTTTGGATTCTGTGTTCAATGTTTAAGTGGAACACTTGAAGCCGAAGAGATAGAAGAGTTAGAAGATGAACGGGTGTTACTGGGCACCAGTGGGTTAATATTTGTTCTACCAACTGATTCCAGTTCAGATCTAGAACAGGTAATAAACATTCAATATAGATAACTTGTTAACCAACGGCCCAAAAGGTTCTTGTCACATCCTGCTAACCATTCATCCCATCCCATCCCATCCCATCCCATCCCATCCATCATCCATTCATCCCTCATCCCATCTCCATCCATCATCCATTCATCCCTCCATCCCTCTATCCATCTCCATCCATCCTCATCCCCATCCCATCCATCATCCATTCATCCATCCATCCAGTCCCTTCCATTCATCCTTCTATCCATCCATCCCTCTATCCATTCATCCATCTATCCATCCCTCTATCCTTCCATCCCATCCCTCTATTCATCCCCCCCATCTATCCACTATCTATCCATTCCATCTCCATCCATCCCCATCCCCCATCCATCCACCATCCCATCGCCATCCATCTATCCATCTATCCATCCATCCATCCATCATCTATTAATCCATCCCAACCAGAAACCCAAGCCCAAGCCTTCGACCTTTTTCATTTTTCATCAAATCCACTTGATGGATTTCAACCAAATTTGGTTGGTATGTTGCTTGAGAGCATCATGAAAGAAATGAATTGAAATAAAGTGGAGTTTAAGGTTCGAAGGTTCTGCCTCATCCGGGTTTATGAAGATGGGCATACACCACGTAGTGTACTATTATGGACATTTGGCCAGGACAGCAATATATTATATTGATAGCCTGACAGTAAGTCATTAAGCCCAATTGGGCTCAGTTCTAATCAGAGCCGGCATGGTTTCCCCGTGTCAGTGGACTGCCTGACAGGGATAGCGGTCTAGTCATTTGGATGGGGCGAAATACCAAGGTCCCATGTACACATTGGCATTTGGAATTCGATATAAAAGTAGGCCGTAGCACCGCTATCTGGGCAAAATTTCCCTCATAGCACAGTGTATGGCGTATTCCCGTCTTCATTAGCCCAGTCCGAGCAGAACAGTAGAATGTTAAACACTATTTTATTTCATTTCATTTGATTTTCTAATCAAAGATTTTACACAACATGCTTCATTACCATAGGTACATGTAAATATTGACTATACGGATTCCCTGAAAACAGAAATTGAAAAAAGTTACCTTTTCTTCATGGAGTTTTGTAGCTCATTTTCGTAACCTGAAACTGCAATTTAGACTATCTAAAAACGACAGTCACAGTATACAGATAATTCACAGCTATTTTCAAATGCTAGAGGAAGCAGTTGTTTTAGGAAATGAAATGAAATGGGGTTCAATGTCCTACTTGTCTGCTCCGAACTGGGCTAATGAAGACAGGGATACGCCATACAGTGGGTTATGAGGAAAATTTTGCCTGGACAGCGGCACTACGGCCTACTGTTATATCAAATTCCAACTGTGAAGGGATCTTTTACGTGCATCCCAATGTGTACACGGGCCCTCCATCCTGCATCACTGACAAGGGGGAACCACGCCGGAAAATCTGGATGAAAGTTCTCGGTCAATGCAGGGATCGAACACCCGACCTCCAGTCTAGCGAGCCAGCGTCTTACCCACTTAGCCACCGTGATCCCCAATTGTTTTAGGTGGTCCAGGTGACAAAAGGTTAAGATGGTCCTATTAAATTCTATAACAAATTGTTTCTTCATATGAAAAATTCAGCATAATTTTATATTTTACTGAACAGGATGATATCTGGTTAGAAAGTCAATTACGATTGGCTAGAATTATGCAGGCGAAACCAATGTATCCTAGTTTACCATTGGTTGTTGTTTGTTCAACAAGAGAACAAGAAATGTTAGGTGAAGATAAAGTAATAGAGAAGTTGAATTTATCAAGTTATATAGAAGGCAATCTAATATCAGATATGTATTTGGTGTTTCTACCAACATCGAGAGATGGTCAAATTAATATTGAAGATCCAAACATATCTGATCAGGTAACAAAATTAGTTGTTATTGCTTGTCTAGATATATTTGCCTTGCACATTTGTTACTGTAATTGCTTGAGAATGTTGAAGGAATACTCTTAAAAAGCTTCCCCAAATAAATTGTTATAGTTGTGTTCCTGTGTATTTGTTTTATTATAGCTATGTTCCAGTGTATAATCTGTATTTGTTCTATTATAGCTGTGTATACTGTGTATTTGTATTATTATAGCTATGTTTCTGTGTAAAATGGTTGGGCAGGAATATGCCAGCACCACCATCTATACAGTCTAAATCATTACAAGAATTTCTCAATGATGTTTTATTAGAGGAATATTTTACACCAGTTTTACAAGATTTACGAAGCAGGAAGAACAAGAAGTTATTGCATCAGGTAAATAAACAAAACTGGCTTGTTTATATTGTCTGCATCCTCGGTACCTGCAGTGGTCTTATTCCGTAGTCAACTGCCATGATTTTGATTCCCGGGCTGTACGTGGCAAGGAGTAGGGGTGCCTGTCCAACCTCATGGGTTTTCTCCTGGTCCTCCCGTTTCCTCCCACTGCAGAACACCAAAAAGCTCAAGTGAGTTATTGAACAACATCGCCTGTCCAACCTCGTGGGTTTTCTCCGGGTCCTCCGGTTTCCTCCCACTCCTAAAGACCCCTACGCGCAAGCGAATTATTGAAATAAAATTAAACCATATGTTAGTCCCGAAATGACCTAGTTTGTGTTGTGTGGATTATATGATATACAGAGGAGGTTGAATACTGCAAAATTGCAATTTCTCATATCTTTGTGAATACTGAACGGAATTGAATCATTTTTGGATTGATATTCATTTTAACAATCTGATTAAAATACAGATCTATATTTCATTTCTTTTTTTTTTATACTTTCCATGGCCTACACTACATAAAGATCTGACCGATTGTAGTGGAAGGTCGCATCAGAGATCATACAAGCGGCTATGATGTTAGACATTTGATTAACCAATTAGCGTTGTTTCTAGTGGGTTACACACAGTTCCATGCACCTCAAGCCAAAAACCTGTCATAACAGACCGTTTCATTGGCTAATCTCTCACATCATCTAGAACGCGGGTTATATAACAACTATTCCAGATCCTAGTGTAATAAAGACAAGTAAAACTAAATTTTGAACTACAGTAGCACCCAAGGGAAATTTAAAAATGCTTGCTTAATGGAGGTGCTCTTTGACTAGAGGTATCCAATATTGCTCCAACCCCAACTTGTCGACCTTTTCGTGCGCTTCTTGTGAGGTGATAAATTATATTCAAAATCGTCTAAAATTTCTGCCTTTCTTTTCAAAATGCCGTGAATTTGAGTATTTCCCACGCCAACTATTTTAGCGATTCCGCGACTACTTTTACCTTCATTTGAAAACTGTATCACTTTGACACATTCTTCAAGTGTCAAAACTTTTCGAGTAGGTGTAAGAACTTTACGAGACGTAGTAATATTAGTAAACTTGTTAATTAGTGATAGTTAGTTCAAGCCAAGTGAGTAAATCGTGTCAAGATTAGTGACAGTTCAGTCTCGTTCACTCAAGCGAGAACGTGATTCTCCGAGAGATTCACTATGATGTTCTCGCTTAATGGATGAAATAGCATGATCTGGGGCTAATATAGATGCCCGTTGCACGCGTTGAACAGGTGCGTGTTTAGTATGGGTTAAATTACTTAAAAATCGCTCGTGTGGGGGGGGGGGCTCGTTGAAGCAAGTGTTCGATGATTAGGAGTGCACGCCCGAGCAAGTTCTACTGTATAAAAAACGAAACGAAATAGGATCTGTGTTTTAATCAGAATGTCCAATTATTTATTTATTTCCAGTCCCCAGAAGTATTAATAGAGCTGTATAACAGTGTAATTGATTATCTGAAAGAAGTTATACCTTCACCAGGATTAAAGAAGTTTTCTTGGCCAGTTCCTGAATTTTCCTGGTTTCATCATCAGAATGGTATTAAATATTTCTATTGTTGGATATTATAGCAATAATTAGTTTGGGTATCTTAAGCCACATCAATTTAAACTTTGTTGTTTTTTTTATTCCTTTAAGTTCCAAATTTATAAGTTTTAGAATTCTAAGAAAAGAAAATTGTGAATATCTATTTATCATATCTGAAGAACTAAAAATTAATATTGTTTGGTGTTATTGATGGAAATTAGGGGGGTTGGATGGCCTAATGGTTAGAATGCGCGCGCTGTATCAGATGGTCTGTCATTGAGTCAACTGGCGGGGTTTCGATTCCCCGTTTGTACGTGTCAAGGAGTAGGGTCCCCTGTCCAACCTCGTGGGTTTTCTCCGGGTCCTTCGGTTTCCTCCCACTGCTAAAGACCCCTACACACAAGCAAATTATTGAAATAAAATTGAACCATGTGTTAGTCCCGAAATGACCTAGTTTGTGTCAAGTGGACGTTAAACCCCATTTCTCTTTCTATCTCTGATGGAAATTAGGATATTCTATTATTTGGCATCACACAGCATACCACACATTTACACCACCGCGACGTACGATTGTAATTTAGTGGGAGTCACCGTGATGCAGTAAAGGTTCACTAACCAGGAGATACATGATTCTATCTCGGTGTTAGCAGAGAAAGATGGAGGGCGTGGCAAATCATTAAGATGGTATGTAAACAGCAAGGTCCCGCGTATATACAATCAGCAGCATGTTAAAGTTAGAAATCGAAATAAATGTAGACCATAGCGCCTCTGTCCAGGCAAGATTTACCTCAAAAAGTACACTGATTGTCGTATGCACATCTTCGATAGCCCAGTTGGTGCGGCAAATAAGGACCTCCGTCTGGGCAAGATTTACCTCAAAGTACACTGCATGTCGTATGCCCATCTTCGTTATCTCAGTAGTGCAGCAAATTAGGGCAAAATTTACCTCAAAGTACACTGCATGTCCTATGCCCATTTTCGTTAGGCTAATTGGTGCGGCAAATTAGGACCTCCGTCTGGGCAAGATTTACCTCAAAGTACACTGCATGTCATATGCCTATCTTAGTCGTGCAGCAAATGAGGGACGTTAAACCCCATTTTATTTTAAATTTAAAGTTATATTTGATTTCTCCTTTCCTTTAGATCAACCACCTGTTCATTGGAATACAGATCATCATTTAGAATATCTTTCAAGTCTGGTATCATCATTATACTTACCAGACTTTTATTATATTGATGAACAGACAGATAGTTGGCAACAAGTGTGTCAGGATGTCTGTTATTTTGTAACCACGGTTACAGAAGGAAAAGAGGGATCAGAAACAGTAGATCTTGTTACTAGGTAACTATATTTCATTCTTTTTATTTTTTTTTCTAAAAGATGAAGAAATCAGGTTGTTTAAATTAATAGTCTACCGTTAGTTTATATAAAGTCTAGTTAAAAGAATGGAATGAAATGTAGTTGAAGGGAGTGAAATGAAGTCTTGTTGAAAGGAGTGGAATGAAGTCCAGTTGAGAGGAGTGGAATGAAGTCCAGTTGAGAGGAGTGGAATATAGACCAATTGAGAGGAGTGGAATGAAGTCCAGTTAAGAGGAGTGGAATGAAGTCCAGTTGAAAGGAATGGAATGAAATCTAGTTGAAGGGAGTGGAATGAAGTGGAGTTGAGAGGAATGGAATGAAGTCCAGTTGAGGGGAATGGAATGAAGTCCAGTTGAGAGGAATTGAATGAAGTCTAGTTGAGAGAGATGGAATGACATCCAGATGAGATTTGAAGTCATTTTGAGACTAAAGTTTCTGTGGTTATGTCTAAAATGCGGGTTGCATGGTTAACGCGTGTGTGTGACATCACAAGGTCTCTCATTGAGTCAAATGGCGTTGTTTCGATTTCCCACTTGTACGTGACAAGGAATAGGGTCATCTGTCCAACCTTGTGGGTTTTCTCCGGATCTTCTGGTTTCCTCCCACTGCTAAAGAACCCTGCACACAAACAAATTATTGAAATAAAATTGAACCATAAGTTAGTCCCAAAATGACCTACTTTGTATCAAGTGAAAGTTAAACCCCATTTCTCTCTCTTATCTCTACAAATTGGGGGTGGGTGTTTTGGGGGATTCAGACCTGACAGAGTTATTTCTGCCTACACAATTTTATAATTTCCTATGTAAAGAAATGAAATGAAATGGGGTTTAACGTCCTACTGTTCTGCTCCAACTAGGGCTAATGAGGAAAATTTTGCCCAGGCAGCAGCACTAAGCCTACTCTTATATTGAATTCCAACTGCCAAGGGATCTTTTATGTGCACGCCGATGTACACTTGAGACCCTGGTTTTTCGTCCCATCCAAATGACTAGACAACTGTCTTTGTCAACCTATGTAAGAGAAGTAACCCTGTTCGATATTTCTGGTTAATTCGAAAGAGTGGCACAGTCAAATATTAAGATTTTCACTTCATTTCTTTTAACTTTCCCGGTTTTCAGCTATATTCTTAATTAGATAAAGAGCTGGTAGTTTTCACTAGACTAATTAAAAACTATATAATGTTAAGGAAATTTGCTGAAAATTTCAGTCAAATTGATTCACTCTGAACCGAGAATTTAGCGATTTAATTTTGGGCCTAGCCTCGATCATCCTTACTAAAGTCAGTACGATAAAAAACTTAGTCTCGATTATCCATTTCATGATTAAATCATGAATGGAAGTCGAACAACAAATCGGAAACCTAATCCAATAAACATCGCAGGCTAGCGATGACATCGATAGTTAATTATGGTCTTGATAAGTTAATTAATGTCTAATTAATAATTTACATAACCTTTCAGGCCTAAAGAAAGACCTGCAGTAGGCAGATTTAACTCTTGCATATTGTATGTTTAATGGAAGATAAATTGTTATTTATATTCTTTATCTATTTCAGAGTAAAATGTTTATTGAAAAAAGTTAAAGATGATTTTGAAGATACATGTTTTTTGGTGGAAAGAGAAGAGAATTGTCAACCTACTTATGTGAATATGCCTTGGACTGATCTTCTACAAGCTTGTATAGATTATAAATTAAAAACTATTTATAGATTAGATTCCTTAATCTACGATAAAAAAAGCTTGAATAAAACTTGCAGGGGAAAGGTGAGTTTTAAAAAAAAAAATTAATCATTTCTTTTTGTTGTTGTGTCCGATTAGTGCTGACATGCTATTAAACACCATTTCCAGGCACTAATGAAATAGTACCTGACATTTTCAACTTAGTGCCGGACATGTATTAATAATATCAATAAAAAAGACAAATCAGTGCCGGACAAAATGACAGGCACCATATGTTTTGTGCCTGACAAAGCCTGAATCTGTGCCTGACATTGTCAGTGACAGGTGCCTTATTTCCAGGCTTGACCATTTCATTTCATTTTTGTTGATGAGTTCTGTGTCCTTGCCCTTTTCCATCTTCAATAGCCCAGTCGGTGCAGAAAAGTAGAACATTAAACTAGGGCTTCCACTTCAAAATTGTCCCTGTCGGTCATTTCTGATAACATACGAAAACTAAATAAAATTCATATTTCATGTTTTTTATTTATTGTATTTAAATTTCTATACCACTTTGTAAGCATGGTGTACACATTAACTATATATTAGATTAAGAAATGAGGGAGTTGGATGGCCGAATGGTTAGCATGTTCGCACTGTATCATAAGCTCTGTCATTGAGTCAACTGGCGTAGTTTCGATTCCCTGGTTGTATGTGACAAGGAGTAGGGTCGCATGTCCAACCTTGTGGGTTTCCTCCCACTGCTAAAGACCTCTATGCCCAAGCAAATTATTGAAATAAAATTGAATCATGTTAGTCCCAAAATGACCTAGTTTGTGTCGAGTGGACGTTGAAACCCATTTCTCTCTCTCACTAAGAAATAAAATATTAGTAGGGCTTATAATAATTATTAATGAAATACTCCCTTTTGACTTTTTTTTTTAGGACAACCCTGATGAGCTGCATGTATTTTATACTAATGAAACATTTACAAAATACAGTCCACCATTTTTATGGAAGACAGCATTACTTGAAACAGCTGAGGGAGGTAAATGTTTAGACTTCAAAGTATTAAAATTCTTATCAAGAATCAACTGGTTGGAGATTATAATTTATGAAACCAGGTTTATGAAAGCTACTGTAAGACTGTACATGTATTTTTGAAATCTTGTGTATGACTCTATTTCTGAAACCTGGTTTTAGATAGTATCATGGTTTAGGAAACCTGGTTTGAGACTGTATTGATGAAACCTAGTTTAAGACTGTATTTAAGACTGTATTAATGAAAATTGATTTCAGTCTGCATATAAGACTGTATTTATGAAACCTGGTTTAAGACTGTATTTTCTGAAACCTGGTTTAAGATGGTATTTTATGAAACCTGGTTTAAGACTGTATATATGAAACCTGGTTTAAGACTATTTATGAAACTTAGTTTTGAGACTAGTTACAAAACATGGCTTCAGACTGTATTTATGAAACCTGGTCCAAGGCTCTATTTATGTCCTAATTAAATGTTAAATGATAAATTTGATAGGTTTTATTTGGATTAAAGAGTGAAATTAAAACTTCCATTAAGAATGCTTGATCAACAACTTTAAGTAGTAGTTTCCTAACTGTGTAATAATTCATCAAATTTATGTTTTTGTAGATAACCCTACTGTAGATGACACATTTCACAGAGCAGTGGAAAGAGTGAGAGAAGAAGAAATAAAACAACTAGAAATAGCAAAGGCAAATACAGAAAAAATAGAGATTGTTAAACCACTTTCTGATGAGATCATCTTTTCTCAATCCATTATTAGTAGGATAAAGAATGAAAGAAAACAAGCCACTGATTTTGAGAAGTATTTAGAGTCCGTGGTTAATGATGATACACCGAAAACTATGGCAGATTTTGATGACATTAATATGATGGATGATGACATTAGTATGATGGAGGACAAATCAGTTACTCCTTACAAATCAGTTACTCATTACAAATCAGTTTCTCCTTACAATACTCCTTACAAATCTGTTACTCCTTACGAAAGTTTAATGGATAGAAGTATCAACGAGTATTATGAGGATGTTGTGAAAAATGGCACCATTTCAGAAAGACTTGCGGCACTTCAGGATAAAATGGAATCAGATAAAAGGGCTAATCATCTATTTGAACAGAAATTAGAATATTTATTGAATTCTTGAGAGGATATCTTCAATCAGTTTAAAATCACATGGTTCTGATATGCCACTCGGCGTAAGCTGTAAGATATGTTCACAGCGCTGTGTTTATTTTTCATGGGACTTTCTACATAGATCAGTGGACAATGTTGTATATATAGAATTAAATCCGTTGAGATAAAAAAATATGGTATAAAAGACGAAAAAAGAATTGAAAACATCTGATATTCTGATCAGATTGGGACATCTTTATACAGTAATAATCGTTTCTGTGGAATATAAACTGTTTTTCATATTATTGATGGAATAAATACTGTGATTTCTATTGTGTTGTCCATGTGGTTTCCCCTTGTCAGTGTTGTCCATGTGGTTAAATTTGGGGCCGAAACATCTGTCGCTAAAAGATGTTGATAAACAAAGTATATGTTCAATGCTTCAATTTCAGAGGGGTTGTGTTGGCTAAGTGGGTAAGAAGTTGGCTCGCTACCCTGGAGGTCGGCTGTTCGATCCCTGCATTGGCCGAGAAAGTTCATCCAGATTTTTCGGCGTGGTTTCCCCTTGTCAGTGGTGCAGGACGGAGGGCCTGACAAGTACAGCTGTCTAGTTGCTCGGATGGGACACATTGGCGAGCACATAAAAGATCCCTTGGCAGTTGGACTTCAATATAAGAGTAAGCCTTAGTGTCGCTGCCCGGGCAAAATTTCCCTCATGGCACACTGTATGGCGTAGGCCTGTCTTCATTAGTCTAGTCAGGAGCAGAACAGCAGGACGTTAAAACCCCATTTCATTTCATTTTGTTAGCCATGTGGGTTCGCAATTTTCAGTCTGGAACGTAGTGAACTGACAGAAATACATTCAAGTGACACAGTTCTGCCAATAACAGATGTGGAGTGAACAGAATCATGATGTAATCAGGGTTAGATCTAAATATTAAGGTCACCTACAGATTTTGTCACGGTCACGTGGTGTAAACAGGGCTAATGCAAAAAACCCACAATCCTCTGCCCTTACCCTGTTTATATCTCGTGATCTGAACCAAATTTTGAAATCATTCTGCACACCAAGAACTATCTGTTGGGGGGTCACGGTGGCTAAGTGGGTAAGACGCTGGCTCACTAGCCTTGAGGTCGGGTGTTTGATCCCTGCATTGGCCGAGAAAGTTCATCCAGATTTTCTAGCGTGGTTTCCCCTTGTCAGTGATACAGGACGGTGGGTCTGACAAGGACAGCTGTCTATTCGTTCGGATGGGACGGAAAACTGAGGTCCTGTGTACACATTGGTGTGCACGTAAAAGATCAACTGGCAGTTTGAATTCGATATAAGAGTAGGCCATTGTGCAGCTGCACGGGCAAAATTTCCCTCATAGCACACTGTATGGCGTATGCCCATCTTCATTAGCCCAGTTTAGGAGCAGAACAGTAGGACGTTAAACCCCATTTCTTTTCATTTCATTTCATATCTACTGTACTTCGAGAATAAATATCTGCCCTGAATGTCCACCATATCCAAAAATAAGTATCAAACACTCAATCCCCCAAGTTAACTAAAGCCATTTCTCATGGTTAGGTGGGTGGTCTAATGAGGTCTGTCACTGAGTCAAGTGGCCTGGTTTCGATCCCATGCTCATACTTGACAAGGAGTAGAGTCACTTGCCCAACCTTGTGGGGTTTCTTGGGTTATCCCGTTTACTCCTACTGCTAAAGACCCCTACGCGCAATCAAATTATTAAAAAGCAATTTTACCATATGTTAATCCCAAAATAACCTAGTTTGTGTCAAGCGAGTAAACCTCATTTCTCTTGTGCTCTTTTTACACCCCAATATTAGGTGAACGGTCTCGGACCACTTACTAAACACAGAACAATTGTGATCGCAGTGTACTGTTATCAATACTGTTTCAGCAATAAAAGTAACTGTACAAAATAATTTTATTCACAAAAGACACTACTAACAATAAAATAATAAACAAATACGGTAACAAAAAGATCTTAAAGCTAAGAGGCATTCAACTGATTCAACCAGGTCGAAATTTTTTCTAAGTTTTCTTCCATATCTTCTGGAGTATTACTTTTTAGTTCTTGCACGATATTTTCCTTGTAAGATTCGAGAGCTTCGTCAAGTATAGTTCGAAATATTTCACATTGTACATTGTCTTGAAGTTTTTTACCACTGTATCCTCGTTTTTCTAGTCTTTCGTATAAAATAGAGTTATCTGTACGCAACACAATTACTAAATGAAACCATCTTTCTGGAAAAAATTCACATCCATGGTAATCTACAATATTACCACCTTCTACCATGGTGTCTTCTAACTCATCAATAACTCGATCTTCATCCATCAGAGGACATTGATATTCTTCGTCGAAACCTTCAAACAGATCATTTTCTTTAGCCACTTCCCCAATATTTATATATTTTAAATTATTTCTCCCGGCTAGTTCTTGTCCCAATGTGGTCTTCCCAGTACCAGGCGTGCCTACAAAGATACAAATAAAAGTTAGTGATAGCTGAATGACTGTGATAGATGTTGGCAATTTAGGGTGAGATTAGAAACTTTAATCCCCTGCATTTTCTGGAGGAAATCATGCACATCAAAAGGCAAAATATGCGCATTTTTTTTTAAAACTAGAAACTGTTTTTTTTTTTCAAGTTCTTGTGGTGACAATCTTAAAAAAAAAGAAAAAAAGTTATTGTTCTTGAGACAGCAACCTCAAAACAAAAGCTCAAGGCTCCACGAATTCGAATAGGATTGACATGAAACTTGGCCTTCTCGTTCTTTGGACAACTGCACATCGATTGACGACTTAAGTTTGGATGAGATGTCACAAGACTGATGTCATATGTGGCACTCTCTTGCGTTGATTAGACCTACATATTGTCTGCACTGGTTGCTGAATGTTGATCAATTTTTATTTCATCATATCACTATAAATACAGATTGTTTGGCTTTGGTAATTTAAATTATTGTCTCTTAATAAAATGTAAACAAATAAAAAAAAATATCATCTTGCAGTGGCTAGATCTAATCAGATATGAAGAATATTTTGTCTCCATGATTCCTAATACATAATTCTATTGTCAGCAGTTCTTTTGGTAAAATATTATTTTCAAATGCTTGGTCAATATTATATTTAATTCACCTGTTATCAAAATATTTGGCCCACGTGGTAAAGATTCTGCCATTTTGTGTTTGTACCGGAAGCAAACATACACACACTCGGCAAACCTTGGCAGATTATGTAGGGTTTCTGTATAGCTGAGGTTTTCCGAATGTGGCACGCAGACAGCATCTGATCTGCTCGGAACAGCCCCGAGTGATTATCTCTGGAATGAAGAACTTCGTCGTAATTATAGAAAATCTCTGAGCACGTGTAAAAATTGACCAAAATTATTTGGTTAGATCTGGCCCCACGTAAAAACCGCGAATATCAACTTGTCAGAGAAAGCGACTTTGTGATATAGAAATAATATTAACTTCGAGTTATAAATAGTACGAGTTCCTCTAATGAAAGGGAAGCAACTCTCTAGTTTTTGATTTTTGGAGTAAAAACCGCGAATATCAACTTGTCAGAGAAAGCGACTTTGTGATATAGAAATAATATTAACTTCGAGTTATAAATAGTACGAGTTCCTCTAATGAAAGGGAAGCAACTCTCTAGTTTTTGATTTTTGGAGTAAGGCCACATTGTTATTGATTATCACCCAATTCAACGACACAACGTACATAAACAAAACATAAAACACATCCGTCACTCCCACATACTTAAATCTCTTCAATTGTATCTGTATGTTTGGCAAGTTTGGTCAGGATTCATGTCGAGGTGAAATGGGGTGTTTTAGGAATTTTGTATATGCAAATCAATAAACACCTATACTTTCAACCAATCACTGTGCACAGTATCGACTTTCTATATGTAAATCGTTTATAGGCACTATCTAACATGTGCATTTCGTTAATATCATTGGTAGTATTTAGTCCGTATTGGGTGTGTGTGTGGTGGGGGGGGGGGGGGAGTCGTTGTCAACCCCGGTGTCTCAGTTGGCATGTTCCTGGCTCATATGATTAGGCCTACTAACCAGAAATTCACGGATTCAAGCCCAGTGTTGGCATAGACAGTCCATTTCATGGATTTTCTACCCAGGTTTTACCCCGACAGTGGCTCAGAAAGGGCGGGGGGGGGGGCATCGATGAAGAGTAGGCGGCAACGCCACTGTCCGGGCAAAATTACCCGCACAGTACGTGCATGGCGAATGCCCGTCTTTATTAACTCGGTCGGTGAAGAATAGTAGGCCGTTTAGTCCCATTTTATTTCATTAGTCTATTAAAGAACCATTATGCCAGAGCTAAATCTGCCTTTTGCTCGTCTTTCTTCTGGCTTCAAATGTTACATAAATTATTACATAGACATTAAAGGTGCATTATGGGAGATTAGATAAAGAGTTGACAGTATTCGATACAATAGTTAAAAAATAGATAACGTAAATAGAATATGCTGAAAATTTCAGTCAAATTGCTCCACTTTGAACCGAGATATTAGCTTTTGAATTTTAGGCTAGCCTCGATCATCATTACTAAAATCAGTACGTTAAAGGAAAAGGGGTCTCGATTATCCAATTTTACGTTTAATTATTTTTCAAAAAATGTATTCCAATCCGCATAACATCACAGGCTAGCGATGGCACCGAGAGTCGATTATGGTCTGGATAAGTTAATTAATGTCTAATTAATAATTTAGATACAATTTCAGGCCTAAATGAAGACCTGCAATAGGTAGATTTAGCTCTTGCATAATGTGTGTTTAAATTCATATTTATTTTCATTTGTCCGGACATCAAGCAACCCCTGGTAAACTATAATGAACTCGAATTCCGCCTGTCCTGTGATCATAACATAGAGCTAGCTGTCAGTTTCTTTGTCCATCGTTTATCCTACACAGAAGAAACGACTTCATATTACACAATAAGTATAGTAAATTTGTTATCAATAATATAAAATATACACTGGGCTAATCAAACTGTAAGTAAATACAGAATACAATATACTTTGGTCTGCCTATGCAAATAAATCATTATACCCTTCCCTATTATTGCTTTATAAATGTTTGTATGAATGAAAAACGTCGTGAGCTGGAAGTCATGCTGGTGCGATTTATTATTCCAGCATACACGACTGGAATTAAATAAAAGAAACCGGGTTTACTTTAGAAAAATGATATGCATGGGTAACCAAATAATATCTTAATAAATTTCTCTAAAAGTTATATTATAATTTTAATACGCGTGTTAAGGAAACTCTATACAAGTCGAGTCCTTAATTTGTTATTTCAAACGCAATGTAGCATTCATTTCAAAATATAGGTTTCACAGAGGGGGTCGGGTGAACGTACCCAACAAAATTCATAACTTAGCCAAACAGAATTTCATAAAAAAAATATATGCCAGAGTTAGTGTTATCAATGTGAAGCATTGAGGCGTTTAATATTTATGGACGCCAAAAAACACCTTGCTTTCGACAAAAGCTATTAAAACGTATGTTTAATAATAAAAAAGAGAAAGGGCACACGGGAGTCACTCTCGTTCATGGAGACTATAGAGGGAGATTTTTCAAGCCTAAAAATTCTTGTAGCAAACGAACGTTTTTAAACGTTAATTATCAAAATAAAAAAAGAAGATATGTTTAGAACTGTGCTGTCACTGTAACGTTGAGCTGACCCCAGTTTATCGCCCACATATGACCTTGTCCAAATATTAAACCCAGTTCGTCAATCATGCCCAACCATGAATACACACCCTTGGACTTTACCATCCATTGTAATTTAATAATCTAATCATTTATCATAAGATTTATTTTTTTGGTTCATATAACGGCAGATTTTCCACGCTGGTGAATTAATCATTTATTTTCCACATTTTTTCCTAAATAGCAGGTTTGCTGTATACTTTTTTGATAGACCATGTTAAAGGTTCTTAGCGAGTATTTCGTGGTGAAAGAAAAACCCCGAAATGCATGCACGTTGAAATATGAGATTTAGGTGGCCATAAGAACTGGGAGGTCACTTTCTATTCGTCTTTTACTATAGACAATGTATAGTTGTTTATTGCCACCATACCATCGCACGACGAATTATCGGGGCAGCCAAAAATTATGAGATCAACTTTATATCCACTTCATCTCCACCCATAACTCATGCAGCAATACAAATAATTATTGTCTTAATTTATTACCCTCTTCGGTGCAGAAAGGTTTTACATTAAACCCCTTTTCATTCCATTTCTTCATTAAAGGGACATTATGCCAGAGCTATGCATGCATCATAGGGTCTGTTATTGAGTCAAGTGGTGTGGGTTTTGATTCCCCACTTGTGCGTGACAAGAAGTAGGTTTTCTCTGGGTCCCCTGGTTTCCTCCCACTCAAGGGCGTGGATTTGTCATAACTTTGGGGGGGGGGGGGGGACGAACCATGGAACCTTTCATTACCAAACCAAAATAATGATTACGAACAGTGTTATTTCGATGAAAGCTGTAACTAAGGATAATATGATGACGATATGGTAAAATTGACTACCTACAATTAAGGTCGAGGAAGATATAGTGAAGATGAATTACTGTAACGAGACCCAAGGCAGTGGTTAGATAGCCTTCAGAATGGGACATTCATGTGGATATAAACCTAAAAATCTGTCCTGGTGATCAAAATCATGGGAGGGGGGGGGCAGAGACCTATTCGTCCCCCCCTTCCGATTCTAAGTGGGGGACCCGTCCCCCCCCCCAGCCCCCCACTAAATCCACGCCCATGCTCCCACTGCTAAAGACCCCTACTTGCAAGTGAATTATTGAAATAAAATTGAACTATATGTCTCTCTCTCTCTCTCTCTCTCTCTCTCTCTCTCTATCTCGCTTTCTCTCTCTTTCTCTCTCTCTCTCTGGCAAAATATCAAATACTTGGCACAGAATAATGTAATTTGACAGAAATTTTCAAGAAATTCACTTTTCATTATCTATTTTCGAACTATTATAGCAAGAACAGCCAACCTTTTATCTAAATATTTTATACAAGGTGACACGGACCTTGATTAATCCATGTTGAGTTTTTTTTAAAGCATCTTAAATCTTAAATACCTCGATGAATATTGTCGAGCTCCGATATCAAGCTTTGGCGCAAGATTCTTATTTTCGTTCTCCTGGTAATACCGTTACTTGTATTCAGAGCACGAAAACATCTTATTTATTACATTAACGATAATGATTATCATCAGATCGTATTAATGTGTACAGTAATACCGGGTGCTTTAACGTGCTTTGTTACACAGAAGGGTCATCTTTCAAGTATTTCTTTTTCTTTTTGTCGATAAAAAGTAGGCTAAACCCTTTAAAGGCGCAGGTCAGATCGTTCACACATTAACAGTCAAAAATATGTCGTGTTTTATGACATAGACGTAATTATTCATTTAAGCTATCCGAGTGAATCGAGAAGGAATTGACTTAGAAAAAAAAAAAATTTTGCATTTTTGTCTAGGGCAAATATTTTGTCCCCTGTCAGATTATTAATTCAGGAAATTCTTTTAAACTTTTCATAAATTTCTGGGGTTACTTTTGTTTTCATTCATTTTATTGCTCAAATTACATTTTCCCTTTTAATAACTCGCTGTGCATTCTTTCTAACTTTACAAAGTAATTTGACTGAAATGTTTAGCATATTCTCCTTGCATTATCTATTTTTTTAACTATTATAGCAAGAACTCTCAGTTTTTTTTTATCTAATTTACATAATGCCGTTTTAAATGTTAAAAATCAACCTGTGTACATTAATGTAAGCGTGGATTATGACGTTAGACATTTTCTCGAAAAGTGCAAACGATGATCAAAGGCTTTTAGACATGTAAATATGACAGTTTGAAATCAATGTAATTTTACCCGGTAGGATTGATCGATTTTAATAATTCATGATCCAAATGTTTTTTGTTTTTTTTCAAAATTTACTTTTGGTTGTGTATGGTTTAAAAATTATCTTTAACATTTTGTTCTGGCATGATGAAGCTTCAATTCAATATAGTAACAAATTGTTTTTCGGTTAGTAATGTCATAACGCCAGGGCTAAAATTGCTATAGTACACACATCACGAATACGTGAAATGAAATGAAATGTGGTTTAACGCTCTACTATATTGCTACGACTGGGATAATGAAGACGGGCATACGCTATACAGTGTGCTATGAGGGAAATTTTACCAGGACAACGGCACTATGGTCTACTCTTATATCAAATTCCAACTGTCAAGGGATCTTTTACGTGCACGCTAATGCGTACACGGGACCTCGGTTTTTCGTTCAATCCAAATGACTAGAAAGCCACGGGACCTCGGTGTTTCATCCCATCCGAACGACTATACATTTTCCGTTGCCGGGCCCTCT